TTTCATCACAAAAAAATATATATTGCTTGCAACTATTTATGAACTTTGAACTGTATCTTTTTATATTAAATAAATATATATATGCTAAACTTGAAAGTAAATAACGAAATTAGATATTTTAACAATTAAGATACTCATAATTCAATAAATTAGATGAATGTTCTTTTTTTGCAAGAAACAACTTGTTTGAATAACACAGTTTTTTTTTTCGTTTCTTTTTGTCATGAAAAAGTCATTTTGATCAAGTTTGGTGCCAAATGCCTAGAATTCTCATTTTTCTTCTTCAAAACCAAGTTTTTATTTAATAAGTTTGTTATAATCGGAAACAACGTTAAAAACTGAGGTGGTTGATGTAGTTCTTTATTGTTTTTAGTGACTTCCGTTTTTTTTTCTGGTTTTCATTTGAAATGAAGGGGAATTTGTGACCAAAACATGAAAGATCAAAAATATTGTGAAAACTTATAACAATGGTTTCACTTTTTGGTGCTGATTCCGAATATATAACATTTTTATCACGTAAAAGCTTGACTTCGAAGAAAAAAATGAGAATTACGGACAGAACTCTAGATATTTGGTACAAAACTCAATTAAAATGACGTTTTCTTGACACAGACAAGAAAAGAAAAATATCGATGCGTACTTTTTAATGCAACTCATTCGTGATCCATGATAAGAGTAGAAGGTGTTCGACCATTAATACACTTTCTTGGACTAAAACTAAAGGCATAGAAAATTGTGTCATACCAAAACGACGTATGCTGTTGTGAAGAAAAAGACATGTATCTAGTTTTTCGTGAACACTAGCTCACGTTCTATCAAACAATGTATCAGAAAAGCAAAAATGTCATAAAAATAATAGCTACACTTTTTCGACTTACTTTATATTGTATTCTAACTGCATTAAACCATCGTTCTTTATCGAATTTCTTTCACAAATTAAAAAAATTTTTTCGTGAAAAAACTTTATTTAGTTTGATCTGGTTTCAAAAACAATGAAAGTTCATAACCAAGCAATATGCTAGCTGCTTGTCATTTTGCATGTAATGGTGAAATAGGGTATGGGTATGAGTTTCTCTTCAATCATATCTGTTTTTCGAACACCTATGATCTCCTTGTTTACAATGTTTGAAACTACGAATACAACCATGATCTACATATCGACCACCATGTTTCCACGGTGTAATTACGCCAGATACGAAAAATACTATCCACCAGAGAAGCACATAATTTTGAATCATTTTGGGCAAGAGTGTGCGAACGATCAGAACGACTACAGTATGCCAAATATCACAGATCTCGAGAAAGAACGCTGAACATCGAAAGTGTCGAAATTCGTCGAACGCTTCCACAATTTCTTCTATCAAAGCCATGAAAGTTACCTTGAAAAGGTGACAAGAGCTCTGTTCAAAATTGTCACGATGATACACAACCATGCCAGTGCCATATCCAAATAGAACAGATAAAAAATGACTGATATACTTCATCAGCATCATGAGTCAAAATGAATGAATATAGCTATCTTCTACACGTATATATTTTATTGCAATCATATCAGACAGGTGGTGTGCAAACGCTATCAACGTCCAATATTTACCGTAAGATGATTGATGTAAACTTTGACAACTACATACACAGTAGAGGACGCCAATGGTTACAATATGGTGACCCTTTCTACAGATAACTTCGTATAGAGTTCTCGTGTAATACTTTTTTTTTTGCAACAGAATAAGCTGCAAATCTGAATAGCTCTCAAACGGCCATATCTAGTGATTAACGATTTCTCGCCATCGAAAAAAGGGACGAGTCATGAGTATTTAAGTTGCTCTGTTGTGGAGTTTCAGCAGTGTAACGTTTTACATGTAGAGCAGCTGAAGAAACGCAAATTAGATTCTTGCACAATGCGTTCTTTCTAAATAAAAGTTTCGTGATATATATGTAAGTGTAAATAGAAATTAGTATATATGTATGTTGAACTATGAGCATGGGTGAGATATGGATATTAAAAGTTGTACCCATGCAGTGCTCTAGTCTGTGAACAAAGTGAGCTGTCTCACTTTGTTGTTATATAGTTCAACACTCAGTTCGAATTTTCGTTTAAAAAAATGGAAAGAGATGAGACCAAAGTGAAGACTATCAATGTCACGAACGAAGAAAAAAAAACGCCTTTTCTCAGTCGATTTCTTGCTCTGATTTATCATTCCATACATTAATCATAATTAGAAAATCGACTTTCAACCACCAGTGTCTATTAAAGAGAGGAAAATCCTATAAACTTTCTCTTTTTTTCGATGTATTTCCTTTTGACCTTTCTCAGCCATAGCCATTTTTCTCTCACAAACCGTTCATTCAAAAATTAATGTTTTTGCAGTTCTGCACCAAAATGAGATGAAAACATTGCTTCTGATCTTTGAAGCAGTAAAACACATATTTTTATCGTCTACGTGGTTCGATTTGCTACTAATCGAACAGTGATGCTCTCTAAAACTCGTTCATTGCGATGAACATTAGTTGAACTTTTTCGAACGTTGATGAATTCAAATTGTACAGTAGTAAATGGTTAATCTTACCACCAGTGCTACTATGAATGATACCGTAGCCCTTTAAAAATGGGCGGCATCGGAAAAAAAGAATAAAAAAAACTGAATGAATTTCGTTCTAATGATCGATACATGTTAGAGAAAAGATGCTTCTTACCGTTCGTAATCGAAGGTTGTACTTTCAAAAATATGGATGAATGATTTGATCAAATGATTAAGATCACTGCATGATTTTGTAATATTTTCCTGTATCATACAACTGATGCTCAATTATGTGTGGTAGGTATGGGCGTGGGTGAGGAGAACATTAGCATCTACGCCCTATTCCAAATGGATTTTATTCCAATGAATAGATCTGTCACTAAAATGTCTCCCCAGAAAGAAAATGGAAGCTTTTAAAAAAAAGCTGATTTTGTTGAAAATGAATCAATTGAAATGAAGAAGATTGAGAAAGAACTTTATTCAAGAGACTACTCTTCTCTGATGTGCTTAATCGATGAATTCAAATATGTCGAGTGAGACGACGGCAAAGTTGTTCTTATGTCAATTTGTTTTTTGTTTTAAATAATTGACGATGCTTGGGTCAGTTGAGTCGACGAATTCTTCTAATATATCAAATTTATTTCGTGATACTCTAATATCTATCTTCATGATCAAGACAAGCATAAACAAGCTGCTGAGTTGTTCTTTGAGCAATCAATTCAATAGATAAATGATAATTAAATCATTTTCCTCAATTTCCTCCTCAGCTCTTATAGATTGAACATGAGACACAACATTGTTCGATCGAATTACTCTCATCATTTTTATTTTTGAAAAAAAAACTAACTGAGCGAAGAGCAAATAATCATTCATCAAGCGATTATTAATAACGTGAAATATCAACTCTTTTCGATATCAAATCGTTGGACTCGGCTATTCCATTCATCAACAACATAGAGATTACCAGATTGATCTAATGACAAATCAAAGGGAAAACTCAATTGATTTGTTGCGCCTCCTTGACCGCTTTGACCAACAATGATAATTCCCTTTGTCATTCCTTTGGGCCAAGCCACTACTCGATGATTCCAATGATCTGATACATAAACTGTACCCGATGAATCGACAAACACTCCTCGAGGATTCGACAGTTGTCTAAGATTACTTCCTCTGCCTCGACCACCAGCCACAACAACTCCTTCTGTTGCACCCTTAACCCATTTCATCACACGATCATTTCCTGAGTCTGATACATAGACAGACTGATCATGATCGACGAAGATGTGAGCCGGAGTATTGAGTTGATTGAGACGATCACCCACTCCCATACCACCAGCCACTATCGTTCCATTTGCTTCTCCCACTTGGAATCGTTTTACTACACCATTTCCTACATCAGAAACATAGAGAAATCCTTGATCATCCATTGCAACACCCCAGCAATTAATATTCGGAATGATTACTTCTCCATTTGTGCCATTTTTACGAGGCCATCGCATCACTCGTTGATTTCCATAATCCGAAATGATGAAATTATCGTTGTCTTTGTCAATGGTCACATCTACAGGCAAATTCAACTGATCATCACGATTGCCTTCTCCATTTCCACCGGCTACCACTCGACCACTGGTTGCACCAGGCTTCCATTCCATAATACGAAAACCTCTTAAATCAGCGATATACAATGTTTGATCATTGTCCAAATAGAAACCCCAAGGTTGATTGAATTTGTTCGGTTCATTGCCTGGACCATTGCCGCCGGCTACCGTAACACCGCATTGTGCCCATCTGGCATTGAAACTGATGTCTGAAACTGGTGCAACTGCAATTAGAAGAAAAAGAGTTCTTTGACGTATTGTAAGCCTAATGAGTTTTTATTTGCTTTTTTAAATGAAAGAGACGACTTTTGTAGATAAATGACTCACTCATTTCATCAGATATTAAGCAAACAGAGATCATCGCAAGTAAATGAATGATGTCAATCAAAGAAATGTTCCTTATTTCATATAGAAATGGCAAATCAACTAAATGCCACTCTTGAAACTTTGTCCAAGTTCAGTCACCATTCTTTGTCTATGATTAACTGTCGAAACACACGAGATATAGTAAAGATATGTCTCAATCATTGAATATTAAGAACTGTTTTTAATTGACTTATGTAAAATAGTTGTTTCTTTTTTACGTTCTAGAGTAACGATAGTGTTTATTAATATTGTTGAACAGAATTGTTAGTCTCTTATTAACATAAAAGTGGATTTACATCGCAATACAACCTTTTTTATAATGGCAATCTATTTTTTAAAATAGAACCTATTCCAGACACATCATTTTTGCTTCTCTAATATATATTTTCCTTATGAGTAAATGATGATTAACGATGAGATGAGATTTTTACACGTGTGAATTCGGTATTGTATGGCGACTGCATTATTTTCATCGATACTTTGTGAAATTTAAAGTTACTATTGATAAACATGATGATAATCTGATTTCAGTACTTTTATAGTTTGTAAAAAAGTATATTAACGTCATTGTTTCTTCCATGAATTTTGACGATTAATTGCAAATTGTAATTAATCATGATATTTTACATTGTAAAAAAGCGTCGAATAATAAAATCTCCATCAAATTTCCACTAATCCTTTTAGAATACATCCAAATTTCATAATCCACTTAAAGGTTTATTATTCTTCGCTTTTTTTTCGCGCACATCAATCGAATCTTAATATAAGCGACTGATTTAAATATCATTGATTTAAAAAATTTTCACTTATTTTCTTCCAACTAATTAATTATTGAAAACATAAGTATTATGAATAATTGGTCTGATTCTTTCGAAAACATTCTGTTTTAATGAATCATACAGAGGTTTAAAATCTGACTGATGTTTTTTTTGCACTCAAATATTATGTGTTGGTTTTCCATGGTGTGAACGTTTGCGAAATAGATTAAACATCTCAGGAACATAATAGAAGATCCTCTACAGGTTTTAGACAGCACGACAGTACAGAAGACCCGAAGTCTGCTAATCTATCGATGGTTTTAATGTTGAGGAGCATTTCGCTGATACCTTTCTGCAAAAACATTCAACATGAAAAATGTTTATCGTCTAGATACTATCATTTTCTGCTTGATTTAGTCTTAGCACAACTGCAAATATTTAACAAAAAAAAAGTTTTGAAATCTAACTCATTTTTTCATGATCGAGTACACTAATACCGAGATCATTGCAATAACAAAGTCAGGGAATGACATGTGTATCTTCGAGTCATACAAATAAATTAAATGCTCTTACCTGGAGAAGGACGAGAAGGAGGAGGTACCGATGATCCATCTAAAACAATAAAAAGGACAGATATAGGCAAGTTGAAAATGCTTGCTCGAATGCTCATTTTATTTGTCTGAAATTATTCAAATATGAGACTGAACTCTGTTTAAAAGTGGCAGACGAATACAAATTAAGCATATTCCAATCATAGTTTTCGAATGAGATTATTCAACAATCAGAATTATAAATATACATTGCTAGACAAATATTAATCAGAAATAACATTTAGACTGTGAGAAACACACAGTATAATAATGGACAAGTCGATTAATCTTTATTTTTAGGAAATGTGGTTGTAAATCAGTGTTAAACGATGTCAAAAGAAAAGTGATATTAGATTGTACTAAATGTTTTATGAAGTTTCGATGTCGTCGAAAATAGAAAGAGAAACACAAGAGAAAACGGTTTCATTACAAACCTTGATTGAAATAAAAGTCTTCCGTTAGACATGAATGAATCCACGGTCGTTGTTGACCCTGTGAGTTTTGTAACATTTCTTTTCTAACTTGCTTCATCATGCTATCAACCTCTAGCTGTGGTGTTGCCAAATGATTTAACAGCGCTGATGTAAAGAAACTATTTCCACCTTCTTCACCAGAGTAAGATACTGTACCAGGGTCAGATGAAAATATTAAAGCAAATTGTGAGTCTTTTGGTATGTTAATATGTGGTGTTAATGCATTACCAAATGCTGCTTTAAGATGTGGTTGTTTATTAATAGCTTTTATTTTCCAGGTATCATTGTTTTCATCAAATCGACAAGCGTCCAAAATAATAATATTTAAAAGATTATTTCCAGAACGCTTCAGGTCTTTCAACAGAGTATCCAAACTTATACAATCGAATTCCGGATCTTCCAACGGTTCGATTGGCAGTAAATAGTTCTTACCCTGAAAGAAATAAGTGAGATAGATAGAATTTTGGTAATTGACTGCTCTTCCTTGATGTAATCAATACTTTTAGTACAAAAGAGACTATCGTTTTCTGTCTATACATTGAGAATAAAAGAATCGAATTAGTAATAGTTACTAGGTCACGATTTTCGCAGAACATTATGCATACTAATCGAAATACTGCATGTTTATGCAGAATTTATTCATGAGAATACACATTTTTCCTTAATGAAATGCTTCGATAATCTTTGTACAGTTAGCTCTAACTAATATTGGTAATTGCAGTGAGCCTTGCATTCGATTTTCTATAATCAATAAATTATTAGCTACATTTGGAAAAATGAACTGCCTTCTGTGATTGAAAATTCTTTTGCTCCTTTGTGGAGAAAGCATGGCATCAATGCTAGATTTGAAGAGAACTCGAGAAATCCTATTTACAAACAATAATCTATCGATAAATACATCTTGAAAAAAACTTATTTGCTTGAATTTTAGATTAGAAAGAATGATATTTAGGACTTCTCAATGTTTTTTTCTATTACAGATTATGTGATCTGTCGTTTCTCAACGGTTTTTACAGATTCTCTTTGAAAAGATATTTTGGCATAGGCCACTCAAGAACTATATATGGATGAATCGTGTGATTATTATACAGTTGGCAGAAAAAAGAATGACGGATCGAAGTATCCATATTAGAAATATGAATTCAATATCCGATAGATCATGAATGATAGCCTAAACATATCACAGTTTCCCAACACTTCATCCTAGATGAGCTGAGAACAGCAACTGAATATAATAACATCGACGTATCAATAGTTTTTTCTAATATGAGATAATTGAAACTACTTAATGGAATTATATTTCTTTCATTTCATGAAACTCAAAAAGCTTTATTGAGTGGATTGTATAAAAAGGTGAAAAATAATTTCTACTCAGACAGATCTATAGAACAGGATGCCAAAGATTGCATGTTATGTCAACAGTGGCAAACATATTGACTCATCACAGTAGCCATCACAAACAGGTTTTTAGTCTTTCATGATGTTGAAACATCAACAGAAAAGTTAGATCAAAGTTCGAAGAACGAATCGAATGGTATATATTATGTTTAGTTTCAATGCGGTTTTCAGACAAAGATTTGAACCTTAAAGTCAGAAATAGAGTTTTGTCAAACTATCTGATTAGACGGTATACACTAGAAATCTCTTGATATTTCATCTTTGGGACAAGTCAAATCCTCATTTTTGTAGTTCTAACTGTTGTTAATCAGAATGTAGGAAAAAGATTGAAAATACGCACTGAAATAATTACGAGAAAATGGGAATGCAATTTACCAATATATACATACAAAGGATACTAAAAAAGTTTTTTACTTGAGCCTCTCTAAAAAATATAATTTGAGTGAAACTGTTCTATATTAACGTTCAAACGTATGACAGATGATGTGCAAATTTGCAGACTTAGAATCCTTGCTGTTTGTTGCACTGTTTATTTTCTCTTGGGCTAGTAACACAACCTTCTTCATATTGCTTTTAATTTCTCACGAGAGTACCTCGAATCATAATTCTACATGACTGATAAATGAGCTTAACATACTAGAAAAAACATGCTAATTTAGTAAACAACTACAGCTCATTCAGATCGTCCTACAGTCACTGTAATCGATGAGCCAATTCGTGTTGTTCCAGCAGTGATTGAAAATGATACTCATGGAACATAGAGACGTATAGAAAACACGCTGAGTATCATTTCGTCAAGATTAATTTCAATTTATCCTGTCAGTATAGTCCTCTATAGAATATTATGTTCCATCGTTAATTATTAGCTAATGGACGACTGAAAATAGTTCCATATTCAATTATGTTGTGATTTGCTGAGTGAATTTGAAAGGATCGATTTCATCTTATCTATGGCGTCATCACTAATGGTAAATCATATATTTATCATAATGATAAAAATATAATAGTGTATTGCAAAGTTGCTGAAACTCAGTTTAACCAAGCTTACGTCATTAGGATCTATTAAGAAGTCAATCTGTCAATATCTTACATAGCAGAGACTTACAACAGTGTACAATGCGACGTAACAAAACTCCAGTCTAGAAATTCTCAGTTTTCCCACAGAAAATGTCGATTATCTATCCATTCTTCGTAGAAAATTTTATTGAATCATATCCCAAAATAATATAGCCTTCAGATCTAAATCCATATACCTTCTTTTTGCTATAATTGAATTCGGGACGACAATAGTGTTACATGTGTTAGTACAGGTCATTATCCGCCACATAATACTAGATTAAAGAAAAACCACTTCTGTAACCTGATTTAATCAAATATACAAGTGAATCGTTTCTAATGAGTGGTACCTTGGGAAAATATGCTAGAACCAGTGTTCGACTATTTATCTAAAGAGTAATTGAAAAACCTTTCGTAGTATCATTTCTATACATAGTGATATATCAATATTTAGATAATTGTGGAATGCTTTATTGTTGGCATGAAATCCATATGTCAAGCCTAGAAAGACTTTTTACTTTCCAGCCATGTTACTTGCTCTTATGAATCCAGTGGTAATCGTAGATGACAACAAAATAATGATTTGAGAGAGTCATAATGGACTAGCTAAAAGATCCCTTCGACATACCAATACACAAAAAAAAAAAGAAATTTCATACAAATTGAGCTATTTTTTCTAGGAATACAAAGACAGTATCGAACTTTCAACTTCGAATACAAATTGTTTTGCTCTATTCAAGTATCTTGAAACTTATCAACTCCGAAGAATAGCTGAAAAGTCTGTTATCTCTGAAATCTAGTATTGCTGGAAACTATGCTTATTTACAATGCTTATTTCAAGTAGCTACTCAAACCTAACTATTGGAAAACAACGTATAGTGTTATATAGCTAGGAAAAATATGAGAAACTCACTAACATTCCTATCAAAACGAATTGTCTTGAAGAAAATTTTCTTAACAACTGCTTAAATCTTTAAATAAGTGTAAAAAATAATTCATAATCCTTACGTATGCTTCCATGCCATGTCCAGAAAAATATATTAAAATACAATCATCATCCTCAATTGTTGCACAAAAGTCTCTGATAGCAATATCCGTAGAACGTTTATTCAAATTATGATATTTTGTACATTGAAAACCTAGAGTATAACAGAAAGAATTTTAAAAACTTTGTTATTCATTAAAATATCAATCGTAAAGACTCACCCAAGCTAGTTAATGTAGCTGCCATATCATCTGCATCCTTAACACAACTTTTTAATTTTGCTGCATCACTGTAGTCCTCATTTCCGAAGATCAAAGCTAGTCGGCGTCGATTCATATTCAAGTCTTTCTGTTAATCTGAAACACCGAGAAGGCAATTACATTAAAAAAAACAACAAACAGACACTACAGCATCAGCTATATCGGGTAAATTTTCTTCAAGACTGTGATAGTAAATGCTGAGAACCCTCTTTGCTAATTATAATTAAACATCGATAAATGTTTAAACTGCTACACTGTAAAAGAAAACGTAGAATAATAAACTTTTATCCTAAATATAATTTTTCATAAAACCATTAAGAACATGAATGTTACAGTAGCATAGATTCTGCTTTTTTTGTGTAAGAAATTTTATATAATAGATATCAATGATGCTGACTAGCGCTAGATTGTTTTGTTGCAGTCATCATATGACAAACACAGAAAACATGAACGTATCAACTTCTAGTCTTCGGAAATAATAAATATAAATATGCTTTTGAGTTTATGAGCGTGGAGATATTCTATAGTTACAATCGATGTGTACATCAGGCTTAATGTGCAGTTAAACAATAGTTCGTATAATGATAGTGATGTACGAAAAACGAAATAAAAAAATTAGATAACGAACGCAAACAAACCAGAAACTTCAAAAATAGAATGCCAATAGAAAAAATTGAAAAAAAAACACTTCTGTTTGAAATGAAGAAATACTAGGAAAGATCGTTTCTCTGACAATTGATTATTCTTGGAAAGCAACTGTCGTCTATTAGAGGTTTTTGACTTAATGTATCTTATATTAGTATCATGAAGTTAAAGAAGATGTGTGAGATCCACATTTTAGCTCTAAGTGGATTGCACTGGTAAGTTTATGACAAAAAAATCATCAATCTATTTCTTTCAATAAAGTAAAGAATGGTTAAGATCATCTTGGTTGGTTATTCCACAGATGATGAAGAAACTTTGAGTTACTACTTTCTTCATCTATGCCAACAATGATATCGAGATGTGGTTTTTTTGCTCAATTCTAATTGATCGAGGCTAACTAATCTATAGGATAGTTCAAAAGTGTAGAATTCACTCATAAAAATCACTTGTTTTCTTTTGTTTTCAAATCAACAATGTTCAAATTTTATCCTCAGAGTTTTTAGCACTGAAATAAATGTCACCTTATCTTGTCATATCGCTAGTATTACTAATGAAGTAGATATATAGGCTCATATTATAGAACGAAGTTTTTTTCATGTTCTAAAAATGGAAAAACGAAGTTTTCAAATTTAAATAATATATTCAATAATTATTCTCAACTAACCAGAAATATGGTTTCACATAAAGTAATATTGTGTTCTCTTTGTACTCCATCCTCTAGCCATGTAGAACCAATCACGTGAAGCACAAACATGCCGACATTTAAATGTAAAATTTTTTAATGAAGGTGAAGTCGAAAGAACATGTACAAGGTGCATCTCCTGTGTAAGAGTGAAGGCGAAAAGACATACACAAAGGATGCAAGATATGATAGACTCTGATCGATTCTCTTAAGTCTGACTATATATTTGTAGAGTCTGCATAATTAATAAATCAAAAAACATCTAGCCAGATCTAACAGATAAATCTTTTCTATGAAGAAATATAAAAACTTTGAATTATTTTGTGATTCATTTTCCTCATGCACTCCATATTATTGGATTAATTAAACTTCCTAATATGAATAAAAGTAAAATATGATGCCTCTATCTTATTTAACTCACGTATACGAATTGAAAAGATGATCAAGATAACAGGAATTCAAAATATTTACAAAGCTTTAAAGAATTATTAACTTAACAAGAAGAAAATAGAAAAAACTAATGTTACACAAAAATGCCAGACAATCTTAAATTTATCGTGATCATTCTCACAGAAATATGCCAGACTGAAACCATCTGGTCTGTACCTTACGTGCTGCTATGCTGTATGACAAGAAGTATTTCGAATTGATTTTGAAACAGCGTTGAAAGACGCGATACTTTTTATTTTCATTCTTACCGGCGTGAAAATTTTAATATTATTATGCTGATAGTTCAACGATCATCTCTTGATTAACTAAACATGACGTATAGTATTGGTCAAAAAGGCAGCAAACTAATTTTGTAATATATATAGGCAGTGTTCATGAATTGAAACTACTAATTAAGAGACATTTATTCATCGATCATTCAAAAGAAAGACAATCATTATGATCGATTTCATATCTGTCTCAATCGTGTCTAATGTGCAGATCATATTGACACTCTATGTGTGTGATTTGATAGAATTCTTTCAAATTTCGGCATCATTCTAATAAATTAGTCATCACGATGAAATAAAGAAAACTCGAATATATGGGGAAAATTGTGGGTTGAGATGTTGCTGATTATGTTTGATGTTGCATATGTACCACTGTTTGTTTGTTGTCTCGAATGATTCTTTCTTTTACCTGTGTAGCGGAGCAACTTTTTTCGTTTCTTACCATTCATTATATTTGCAGTTTTCTTTTTTTCTTCTTTATATATACTCTGTCACGAACCAGTCTATGCAAGAGGCACACGGAACATTGCATACCACCATACATGTGCACAAAACGATACATTTTAGTGATTTGCACATAGCGAATCTTGCACACAAAATAAAAAAAACACATACCTGAAAGGATGTCGAAAAGCAATGAGTAATAGAAAAAATAAAAAATTGTTTTTTATTTTGAAATTTGTACCATGTTTTATTCATATATGTAAATAAAAAGTCTCGAAAAATAATTCGATAGTTAATCATACATGCAGTTGATATCGAATTAGTATAATTCTTGAAACAAATTTTGGTTTGATGATATTACGATACCACAACGATCGAATGCTTAATAAAAATAGCACATAATTTGATGTTTATAACAAATACATTCTTACCTATAAATCAATACTTTACCGAACGCAAGGAAATCTGTTTGCGCAAAGTGAAGTGGAAGTATTATAGTCAGTAATTCTATCATCTACTGTCATAATACACGCATATTCATACCGATATCTTTGTTGTTCAAGCTGTTACGTAGGTTGTATTACTTTTCGTCTGTTATATTGTTGAAAATTTCTTCTAATACATAATGAAATAAAACACGTATGACTTTTGTTGAAGTTGGTACGAAAAGAAATCTTTCTGAAGAAAAAAACACTCGTACAGTTATTTTACTCAGTAACAAACCAAGATACTGTATAAAACTAATGACGAAAATACGCTCAATCAAATATTTCAACTTATTCAGTTCTCAGCAAAACAGAACATTACAGTATCTTTTACATTGAATCATTTCAAGGCTTATGTTGTTAATGAGAATAATGTGCCAACCATTTATATTTTCCTTCCACTAAGTAATTGTGCCAATAAAATAAGTTAGAATCTAAGAGATGCAGATGCGAGTCTTGACAACATATTTTAAGTTCTCCACGTTATGCTGACTAGTCTTTTAGTTATCGAAATGAAGTAAACATTTTGGGGTGTGGGTATGGGTGGGTGCGTGTGGATGGGTGTGGGTATGGTGTGGGTGCGGAGTGTGAGTGGATGTGGGTGGGTGTGTTTGGATATGGGTGTAGGATACAGCTGTGGATAATCTCCTAATTCTGATCGGCACATTCACACCCACACCACACACCCTCAAATGAAAAAATGTCAAGTTCAATGACGGACGGGTTTCGTAATCTTTGTTAAAATTATGTTCTCTACGTTACCAGACATCACTATCGTAGATATTTTTCGATTTTCAATTTAATCATTCTATAGCACTCATCGAACGGATTCGCTGACTCTTTACTGCAAGACAGGAATATGTCGCTACACTTCACAAAGTAAACAATGGTAAAACATGGTCATAATTATTTGCAGCAAGGTGTGACTTTTGATGTCGATAAGTTTCGAGAGATAGTCTATATTCACACTCGCATCCCACAACTGCATTGTATGTATCTTTGTGTAACTAATAGAATAGGTCGCGGTCAAGGCGAAGAAAATTTTCAGCTTTCAATTTGAATGATGCTAAAAAACATTATATCTTGTTACGGAGGGTGAGGGTGTGGGTGTGCATGAAGGGAAGACGCACACCCGCACTCCACACCACGCCTCGAAATCGGGCCAGTTTTCGATGACCCGATTCGGCCCACACCGAGTCAAGAATCGCACATGCCCGCTCGGCCCAACTTCTACTCTATTAGAGTAGACCCAACCCGAATAACAATGGCACTATTATAATTATATTTCTTTTACAAAGAAAGTTTTTACATAACGTAACTCAATGGTCACTGGAGTTAGGGATGGCTATTTCTTGTTAACTTACTTTAATTTTAAATTTTGAAAAGTTAAATTTATTTTAAAGTTAAATTTCTAAACATTTATTTTTGAATTTACTAAATTTTCGTAGATACAAATTGATCATTCCTACACCGCAGTAATGTATCAAATCATTGTAAAAAGTTTAATCATCATGGTGATCACGAGTTGAATAGGGTTAGATAATTTTTGAAGCTTCAAAAAAGCCTGGAAGATAAGTCGAATCACTTACTGAATCAATAGAGTAACATGAGTTTTTTTCGATACTTCAACTTCTGGAGTACTATCATTTATTATCACGAACCTCGCAGAAGTGAAATGCCGGTCGATCAATTCCAAAGAGTCACATTGATTAATATTTCTACTTTCCCTGCTAATTTTAGTATAAAGTTAAAACTATTCCACTTTAATAATGTTCATGTAACTTAATGTAGTTAATAGTTCACTCCACTTTCTGTATGGATGAGTGCTATCGTACTGAATAAATGTTTTGTTTTCATTTATTGCCTCAATGAAGTTTGCAAAGCGTTCACATGATAAAACTTCCTGATTGTTAACAATTCCGAGATGTACAACCCATGTAGAAAATTTTGACGAAAAACTTAAATTAATTGATTATTTTTTGGTTAAAAATCGATTAAAATGATGCTATTTAATTCTAACTGGCTAAATGATAGAAACGCATTTAATTCCTTTGAGGAATCCTAAATCAAATGAATTCAGAATAAATGTGAACCTTCCTCAAGGCAACTCTCTGAACTCTTATATCTTTATTATCTCCCACGCACAGATAACTTCCTATGTCGAGGCTTTCTCTACGCATCCCGTCGCAGATGAACTTAGCACTTCAATTATTCCTAATGTATCAAAACTGTGGTGCAAATTCTCCATTGCCAGGTGAGGATAATAATGAATCGGAAAATTCCGCAAATAAATATTTAGGTTTCATCTGGTTAGATAAGTTGTCTTCAAAGTCTACAGTAGATAACCGTCGCAAGCCTATCCAAATATTGTTTGTTAAACTGAAATTCCTTAAACGGAAGAAAGCTATATCGACTCAAATGCTGAAAATTTGTTTCTTCACCTATTCTTTCATAACTCTAACAAGAATCACTTTGACAGAAATTTCGAGTGGCTCTTCGATTGATCCACCGTCGTTGTCCATACATATAAATGAATGATATACAGTTCGTCACAAAAATTTAAGCAAATTTATTTTTTTCAATTATTTCTTACTCATTATTACAGAATACGGAACTGATTAAAATAGTGATACAGATAGTCTGAGATGGCGGCTACATTGTAGCCTAAAATAGGAGTCCACCCAAAACTAAATGTATACCATGCTCTACCGTTTTCTATAAAAAAATTTTTCACCGAGTTGACCTTCACTTCGAATAAATGTTTCCAAAAGTGACTTTGATTCAAAATTTTGATTGATCACTAAGACTAATTTAAATCTCACTACTAGTTTATCTCTGTTAGAAATCACTATTTGCTCGATTATAGATCGTTTGTGACGATGAGTCAGTCTTCTTAATGTTAAGCGCATGGACCATCTGGTTTTTATTCTCATCAGATTCAATTCGTTTTGTAATAGTAAATATTCCATTGAAAAAAATAGTAAAGTCAAAAATGAAGCTTTTCCTTCTTATTATTCTCGCTGTGATCGATCTTATTCTTGGTTTTCATCGATCACAATTTCATGAATATTGTATCATTGGAGCTGGTCCAGCTGGTTTACAATTAGCTTATTTTCTTCAAAAAGCTAAACGAGATTATATTATTTATGAAAAAACCTGTCAAGCAGGTAAATAATGAATAATATCGAAGATGATATTCTATAAAATTATTTATCTTAGGTTCATTCTTTATTAATTATCCTCGACATCGTCGTTTAATCAGTATTAATAAACGAAATACAGGAGAAAAAAATCGAAAATTTAATTTAAGACATGATTGGAATTCTCTATTATCTGATGATGATCAGTTACGATTTACACATCGTTCGAAACAACTTTTTCCATCGGCAGATCTTATGGTTGATTATTTAAATGATTTTTATCGTTATTATAATCTTCATATTCAATTTAATACAACAATAAAAAATATAAAACCAATATCTGAACAAACAACAACATGTGATTCAAAAGATTGTTCATTTTCATCAATAGCTCGTTTTCGAATGAATGACCAACATGATAATCAATATACTTGCGGGTTAGTTTTATTCTTCGTATAAATATTTTAAAAATTGAATTTAATGATTTTTCTTTTCAGAATCGTTATTGTTGCTACAGGTCTTTCTATACCAAATATTCCACCAATAAATGGCATAGATTTAGCTATTGGCTATGAAAATCTATCACTCAATATTGAAGAATTTGAAAATAAATCTGTTTTAATCTTAGGTTAAACAAAATGAAATAAGAAAAATATTTTTGTTTTTTTTTTTCAATCAGATTAATAATTTAGGTAGAGGAAATTCAGCATTTGAAGTTGCTCAACATATTTATGATGTTACTAATTATATTCATATGGTATCTCGATCACGTGTACGAAATGCTTATGCAACACATTATGTTGGAGATTTGAGGTTTAAAAACAAAACTTTTTTACTTTTTTAAATTCTTTAATATGTATTTTTATAGAGCTATTAATAATCAATTACTTGATACATATCAATTGAAATCACTTGATGCTCTTGTTGAACTTGATTTAATGGAACATGAACTATCTCGTAGACCATACGATGGTCGTATTCAACTTAAACGTAAAAAATTTGATATGGATCCATCTATTCAAGAACGACAAGAAACAACAATCTACGATCGAGTTATTCGATGCTTAGGATTTAAATTTGATGAGTCTATTTGGCATCCGTTAGTATAATTTATTTCCCTTGTGTTAACGATCAATAGATTTTTCTTAACTATTCCCAAAAGCAGACACTTCATACATGTAAATCAGTATTCTATCCAGAATCTGTCTCCTTGAAAGACCTTTTAGACATATACAAAATATGAAACCATATCAATTTGAATCAATGTATATCGATTAACTAAACAAAAATTCATTTTTTTTGTAAAAAAAAAAAAAAAGTTCAAAACTGTGTCTGTAAAAGTAAAATAGTGACTTTTGTTCATTTCTTAGTTGACTTGGTTTCTTTAACTAAATATTAAATTTCTTATGAAAATCAGCTTTGGTCAAAAAATGCTTTGAAAAATACAAAAGTATTAAAATCTGTCATGCACAATAAAATAAAATGCTATTAGCGCGAACCCTATGAGATTAAAATGTGAAACACGATGTAGCTGCTATTGCTAATCACAAGAGATTTCTTTATTCTATCTATTTTAAAACACATTTCTTTATTATCTTTTAACTTAATACTTCAAAAATGCAATTAGGAACTAGTGCATTCATTACAGAACATAGGTTCACATTTTAACTTTAATAAGTTTTTATCGAAGTATTCTGTACAAGTACTATTTCGATCCTTTTTTGAAATATTCTAATAATAGTTGTTCAATCTTACTCTTCACAGGGATGTTGAAATGGAGAAAAATCTTGGTCGAATAAAGAAATATCCAAAAATTCGTTATGATTATCAATCGTTCGATTATGATCATTTATATTTTGCTGGTACATTAATACATTCAATTGATTTTCGAAAATCATCTGGTGGATTTATTCATGGTTTTCGTTATATAACTCGAGCACTTCATCGAATATTTGAATATTGTTATCATCAACAAAAATGGCCATCAATTAGTTTATCATGGTTTTCATTAACAAATTATTTAATTAAAAGAATAAATGAAGCCGATGGAATCTACCAAATGTTTGGACAATTAGTCGATGTTATATTAATTGATAGGTACTCAATGTTTTTTTTATACTTATACATGATCTTTATTTTATAATATATATATATATATGAATAGAATAAATCGTCAATGTCGATATCTTGAAGAATATCCTGTACGATTACTTCCACGTTTAGAAGAAATCACAGGTTATACATCTGATAATTTATTGATATTAAATATGCAATATGGAATGAATTATTCTGGAGCCGGTTGAGTTTTGAATTTTCTTTTTTTTATTAGATTTAAATAATTATTCATTTTATTTAAATGGATAGGTCGTGATGTATTTGCATTTGATCGTATTTCTGCTTCCGTAGATACAGCAGATCGATCGAATTTCCTTCATCCTGTTCTTTATTATTATGATTCTCCATTACAAGGTAAATTCAAATTATTGAATAAAAAAAATTTATTGAGTTTTTTTTTTTTTCTATATTATTTAATTAGAAAAAGATTTTGATAATGTTAAATCTGGTTTTTTACCATTGACATCATCTGTTCGTATACATCATATTATTGAAAATGTTCTTACATTATGGATGCATCCTGATGAACATATTTTACCTTTAAGAATATTTCTTGAAAATATTCTGAATATTAATTTAGAACAACGAACAGTTATTTCTTATGCACGAAAAAGAATGCTTCAAAAAAAATTAACAATTCCTGTTCAATTTTATGCAGCAATTTAAAAATAATTTATTTTGATTTTAATAAAAGCAATAAATTTTCGTATATAAGAGAAAGTCTTCTATTGAATATAAAAATTAAAAGAAAAAAAAAGAATGTATTGAAAATTTATGACTCTGATTGTTTTATTGTATAAGAAAAAAAAATTTTTATTATTATAATTATTTATATATTTTAAATTTTCTATTATAATACAATAATACAACGTTTCGTTGCTGTAAGCAATATCTTCAGACAAAAATAAAATTCAATATATACACTAAACTCTTAATTTTACAATAGAATAAAAGTAACCAACAAAACAAATAGTTATTTTTTTTCCTAACTTCGATAGTAATAATCAGAACAAGACAATAACAGTAATCGATTAGATTAATAAATTATTTTCGTATCATTATTAGAGTTACAAAAAAAAAAAGGAAAAATACAGGTTTATTTTGTTTTATACTTATTTCACTATAGTATATATCGTTTAATATGTGCATTGTATTTGTTGTCTGAAGAGGTTGCTTACAGCAATGAAAAGTCACATTATTGTATAATAAAAAAAAAATTAAAAAAGTATACTATACAAATTAAGTATTGTTTATTTTATATTCAAAGTCATCATTTCTTTTTTTTTGAAATAGCGTTAAATTATTTTATATGGGAATGTGAAAAAAAAATCATTTTGATTATAAAAGATGTTTCAGTTCGTCTATCACACCTGTTCAATTGAAATTGTTGAATTTTCATCAGATAAAGAAGAAGAAGAAAAAAAAAAGAAAAATGAACTAAAACAATACATTCCTACATAGTGATAATATAAAATAAAGAACGAATATTAAAAAGGATAAAGAAGAAAAATAATTCATTTCATTATAAATTTACATATCTAGGTATTATGCAATATGTTAGATACCTAATTTATTTATTAATAGATAGGATTTATAGTTATTTATTACAAAAAAAAAGAAACATAATCTTATTTGAAAATCTGTGATATAAATCAAATGTAAATATAATTCATTCAATCTATCATTGATTCTTCATTATACTTAATATTCTATTCTTAAGCTTTTAGTTTGACTATTCTATGACGTATAGATATTAATTCGTTCCAGATTTGTTACTCACATCATATATGTATGTGAAGAATAGATAGTCAGACGTAATTTCACTTCAATTTTTTTTCAATGAGATTCTCTTCATCAGTCAAATGACGAATGTTCTGTGCTGTGTGCTGCTGCCTGGGTGGTAAATGTAATTTAAGCTAGTCAGTCAGTTCTCTTTCTCTTGTGACTAGATCTATCTAATTTCGTTCATCATCATTCAATGTCTTTACTATCCAAAGTTAATCATTGGCGTAAAATGATCACACATCCAACAACAAAACACCCTTACATATTATAAATATATGTCTGTATTCTCTATTCATTTCATTTATTTTATGTATATGTTCATATAATATACAATTTATATATATATATATATGCAATTTCATCATTCTTATGAAATTATGCAATAAATACAGAAGGATCAAATGTACGATTATATTCCTAGTTTTTTTTTTTTTTTTTCTAGATTACAGTAAGGAGATCATTCAAGCGATAACAGAAGAAATATGTCTTTTTATAAGTGTTGCCATCGATTTGAACTGACACTCTTTTTTTATATTTACGCATAAGTTAAAATGAATATTTTGACCCTATTTTACTCAGCAGTATGCCAACTATTCGACAATTTTAAGAGACACTCAACCAACATGTCACGGTTCATTAATAATTATCGACACCTATTTTATGTTTATGACATAAATGAAATCATCACTAACAGATAGAACCAATTGAGACAGACAATAATTAACTCATTTTTATTTTTAATAATCAAAACATGTTTTTTTTGATTTTTATGTTTCCTTCCTACATCAATATATTTTATTAGTTGTCCGATCACTTGTAGTAGCAGTTACGGGTCATTGTCAAATGTCCGAAGAGATAAATTGTATGCAGTGTATATATATATATAAATACATGTGGAATACACACATACAGCACCTCTTCTTTCAATGAATATAAAAACAAAGAAAAAATCGATGATGATGATGATGAAGAAACTACCGCTCTTCTTTTCTTCTCTGATGTATACTGATCATCATCATCATCAGCTCGTTTTTCAGTCTCGCGGTAGATTTCTTCAGCCTACAAAAGAGTCAACTTCAGAACGAAAGAGAGAGAGAGAGCAAGAACGAGCAAGCGACTGTTCATTCATATTTTTCCTCTCGTTCTTATTTCGTCTCGCATTTCTATCGTTCCACTATTATTTATGTAGAAAGAGAAGACGAGAGAGAAGAGAAAGAAGAGATCTACATTTTCTCTTTTGCATCTCTAAACGAAGCGTGAATACATTTTTTTGATATTATTAAATAGAATCACGAACTGTACATACAAAGCATATCTCCAAACAAGACGAAGACGAACTGTACAATTGTTGTGTGTGTGTGTGTGTTTTTTTAACAATGTTACTATTTCTATTTTTAATAATTTCAATATTTTCAACTACATCCGCTGATACTTCAGGTAAAAAAAAAGTCTTTTTTTGATTACATCAGAATTTTATTCTATTCGAATGCACCAGATGTGATGATTGAGTAGTCATTGTATGGAACCAGTTTGTTCTTTCAAGCATTCAAATAGATATGAAAGTGTTTTTTAATTAAATAACTATGAAAAAAAAATATATATATACATACACACATGCACATCATTTTTAAAGTCTAATAATAACAATAGATTACGTCAATAACTTTTAGCTATTTTGAACATAATTTTAACATTTCAATGTAACTAGGAACAGATTAACAAAAAACGGAAATGAATATTATATTGATACCGGCGACATGTTCATTGTTAGTTAAACATTAAAAACGGATAAGTTATTGTCATTAGACGACACATGAGAAAAAAGAAGAGAGAGAGAGTGTTTTTGTCTGAAGTATGTTTAGAAGAAAAGTGTGCATGTGTTTGTGTGTGTCCATCCATCGATTTCTTTTTTTGAGACTCCCTACGATGAGAATATAATAAATGTCTTTGTATTTATTGTTAAGAGATACTCAATTGAAATGAAATGAAATCTATATCATTTAAATTGATCGAACAGAAGATGATTAACGAATGACTTATAAATGATGATAAGTTTAGTCGATTTTTACCTTGTACTAATTTGAAAATAAATGAGATATATGTTGATAGATAAATAGATGAAAGAATCAAATTCTCATCTAGACCTAAATAACAAAACATAACAAAATATAAGATATGGTTATCTATTAAAAGAATAAATATTCTGATAAGTTTTAACTCTATTAGTCTTTTCTATTGATCATCATTCTTGTCGACATTCCACGACAGAAACTAATCGGTTACATACTCATATACATATATATATAATTATATCGTGCTCTTTTCATGACAAAATAAGATTGTATGTTCTTTCTTACAGATCAACCAAAATTTGATCGATCACATGAAACTGTTTCTGTTGTTGTCGGTAAACGTGCATTGTTACCATGTTACGTATCAATAAAAGACGCTAGTAATAGTCCATTTAAAGTAATTATTATATATATTTATATCAATAAAAAAAGAAAAAGAAAAAATGTCTAATATAAATTTAGGTTATTTGGATGAAATTAAATAATAGTTCAATTTTAACTATGGAAGATCGTGCTATTAATGGTGATCCACGTATATCATTATTACATGCATATGCTGATGAATGGAATTTACAAATTGATGATATTGATGAAGATGATGCTGGAATTTATCAATGTGTTATTAATACAGGCATGTATAAAACATTAACATTAGATGTTAAAGGTAAATAAGAAGAAAAAAAAAAACAAGATAATGAAGAATAATTTTCAAAAAAAAAAAACAATTTTTAGTTCCACCAAAAATAATTGATGAACTAACAACAGAACCTTATCCATCACCGATAAGATCAGGTTCAAATTTTACAATAAAATGTTATGCACATGGTAAACCAATGCCAAAAATTCGCATTCTTTCATATGATCAATCAGACAATGCTAAAAGTATGTTGCCCTACGGAAAAATTTTTTATTATTATCATCATTACGGAAATTATTAGTGAATTTAGTGATTTGTTACATTATTAATTAAGATTTCTATTCAAATTTATTTCATGATAATTTTTTTATCTAATAATTAAAAGAGAGAAAGAAAAAAAGAGAATCTATTAAAATAACATTGTCTAATTGAACAGTTGAAGTCTATCAGACATTTTTATTTTTATATGTATATAGAACAACAAAAATAACACAAAGAACTTTATATTAGTCGTGTCACATAAAGAGAGGATAATTGAGCCACTCGACCCTGTAGAGGCTTCGCATTTCATTGGGTTCAATGCATTATATATAGTTCTTTTGTTTCTATCTTTTAATAGTTATCAGTGATCAAAATGAAGTAACACTTTATGATATATCTCGTCATACACGTCGTCGTTATGAATGTATAGCTAGTAATGGTTATCCACCGGATGTTGCACGTTCATTTCAATTAACAATTCAATATGCACCTGAATTAAATCTTATTGTTTTATCAAAAACAAATGATGAATTAATATCATCAGTATTATTTATTGAATTAAATCAAAATAATATTCGACTTAAATGTCAAATATTAATGAATCCATTAGATAAAATTTATTGGACAAAAGATAATCGTAAATTAATAAATAATCATCATATACATCAATATGTATCAACTTCAATGGAAAATTTTATTATGTCTGAACTTGTGATAAAAGAATTTTTAAATGATGATCAAGGTGAATATTCATGTATTGCTTCAAATTTATTAGGAATGAATTCAAAAAGTATTCAATTATTTGTTGCACCAACAACAACAACAACAACAACAACAACGACGACAACAACAACAATTATAACTTCAACAATAACTGAATTATCAACTTCACGAATGATTATTCCACGTCGTAAACGTCCAAAACATAGTCGAACAACAACAATATCACAAGAATTCTATCGTTCAACAGAACTTTTAAGAGAGATGACTATCATATCATCACAAGGTAAATGATGATAAATGTGTTTCATTTTGTTCATTCAAGGTCAATAATAGTACTTTATATATATATATATATATATATATATCGATTAGGATTGCAAAAGATTGTCACGACCTTTTCTTCTCCATTTCAGTTCTGATTGATGAGGCAAAAGATATAGAAAGAAAATGCCCCGAGGAAAATTGAAGAGCTAAAACTACTCAATTAATTCAATTGAAAAAGACGTTTAGGAAAAAAACATCAAACAAATTATCCTAGCGGCCACTTTACTATGATGATGATAATGATTTGAACTAAATAGGTCAATATTGTATTTGATTATCTTGTATCTTTTTTTTTTTGCTTTCTAGCTATTAACACTAAATACCAGATGATGACATTATATGTTCTTGTATTTGTGGCGGCTTACTTCTGAATAATATTATTCAACAAAGATGCCAAATAACTGTGATAATAGCAGAACTTTTCTTTCTCTCTTATTCTCAGGTATGTATGAATTATTGGACATAAACTATTCTTTATTGTTTTGTTTTTTTTAGTATTCCAGTGATGATAATAATGATGCCATTCGGCTGGATGTCTATTGATTATATTGTCGAGATAAACATTCGTTGTTGTCTCTTTATTTGCTTTCTCTTTGTTTCATATATCAACGAAGTTTCTTATTTTTTTTTTCTTGTTAAATAGAATATGTGTGTTTGTGTGTGTGTGTGTGTATGTGTGTTTAATAAAGATGAAAAATAAGCAGCAAGCTCGATGTCATACTATTTTGTTGCTTGATTGTTTCGAACATGTCTCGGTTAGTTGAGGTGATGTTTGCATTACTACAATCACCGGATATTTGACCCCTGTTGGAAAGAAAGTAATAATAATGAGCTTTTTCTTTTTTTTTTTCTCTCGCTTCTTTTTTTGTTTTTAAGTATAAGCCGCTAATACCTTCTTTGGGTCATACGAATGTACCACTTTTTTTTTTCTATCTGACTGATTTGATTATGAATAAATAAGGTTTCATATTGGATTAATAGAAGTTATGATTGAAATCTGTTTCCTCTTATCAGATAAATTTTTGTCATGTCTAATGAACTTTAGTCTTCTTTACTCAAATGACTAATGAACAAAAACATGAATTTTGAGTGTCAAATTTCAATATATATCCTTAAACAAACGTCTTTCAATATGTATATATATATATATATGTTTAAATAAGACTGCTAAGAAGATGAATGTTCATTACATAAAAAGAAAATCATCCATGTTTACATATCCCACTCGTTTTTGCCGCTTCTATGAGCTTGCGTCAACAAAGAATGAAAGCTTTACTTCTTTGTTGATTGCTAATCGCCAAAGTATATATATGTATATACATATATGAAGAGTCTACATTGATTAACATCTCACATATAGAAAGTAAATGGAGCCGCACTAAATTGATATTCAAATGGACATGATAGTTATTAAGAAGAGAGATGACAATATGTCGATGACTATATTTTTTTCTTTTTGATGGACGAGACATATCCATTCAGATGACGATTTAGATTTCACTCGTCATAATACATTTTCATATATATATACAGAGAGAAAGAGAAGGTGTCTTCTTTGATCTTGATTCATTATTGTATGTATGGTACTTTTGACTAACTGTAAAAAAAATAAAATAAAATAAACGATGAATCGATGCGGGAAGCCATAATAAACAGTTGACAAGCGGCAGACATTCGGTGATCTGTCGAGCGATATTCAATACGTTGTCAGAAACAGACACAGATTGAATAGGGCGTTTCCTCATATACATACAATACACATCGATGAATGCTGTTACTCTTTCTGTCAGATGCAATTAGCTTATGCGACAAGATTTATATATATGATATCACCTTGAGATAATATCGAAATGAACATCGAAATAAAAAGCAGATGGGAATAGAAAATTGAAAAATTAATTAGCTTTCTTTTATCTGATAGAGAAGAGTCCTTTTAGAAAGAAAGAAAAAAAAAAAAGAAAACTTATATTCTTGACAAATTGAAAATGTTACTTAATGTCATAAATAGACAATTTCAAAATGTGACATTGATGAAAACAATGAAGAACGACATGAATAGATGAGCGAAAGTTATCGTGAAAGGTATTTGTTTTTTTTCCTGGATACCATATGGAATGTTTAAATAATTCATCCAAATACATATATTGCATGAAAGAAGTTATTTATTTTTAAGATAGTTGATAAAAAGATTTGTGCACATGATCAATAGATATCTTTAATATCACTCATTTCTTTTCAAATTTATATCAATGATCATCTATCATTCTTTTGTTGATTTATCAAACTAATTCACATACAATATTTTCTTTTAGCAAAAAGAAAGAAAAAAAACGTATCTATCTATCAAACATTGTTTTGTTGAATATTTAGGCAGTACAATATGATGATTTCATATTATTTTTTTTTCTTCTCATATAACTACATTTATCATTAAATAATATATTTATTGATTTTGTCTTTTTTTCTTGAATTGTAGATGATATTTTTTGTAAAAATTTTAGAATTAATCAACATAATTAATTTTGACTTAAGCAGTTTTTTTCATTGGAAAAAATAAAACGTTAATTTTCCACTAAATGTCAAGTTTAAATTGGAAATAAATTTCAAGAGTTTTAGAAATACAAATTTTCTACTTCTTCTTAAAAAATAACATTCTTTAAATATCTCATCGTTTACTATATTTCCAAATAGCCGAGAGCTTCAATCTATTTTCCATATAATTAAATCAATTCTATAATCTATTTATGACAGACAGATGCCTAAAATGTATTCAATGATTATCAAAGATTCGAATTTCTATAATTTTATTTCTAAAAACAATACAAATTGAAAAATAAACATTTATGTTTAATACATATTTATTTATGATCTTTCTGTTTCAAGCAAAAACAATATGATGAGTATTCAGCTGCATAAAAACAAAGTATTGACTTCATTGTTTTCAAATCAAATCATGTTCACTTTATCAAGCCTTCGAAAAAGACAACCAACAATGTCATTTGGATGTGTTGATGCGGATATAAGAGAGGCAACAGTGAAAATTCTGTAGTTCAGCGTATGTCAAGGCTAACCTGAAAAAATATAATGATTAATTTTTAATAGTTTTTATTAAATTTTAATGAAATCAAATACTCTCATTCGATATAAATTTATGAGTTTATTTTTTATAAGTAAATCTAAAATATGATTACTATTAAATTATGTACTTTAATAGAGACTAAAAAGAAATTTATCAAATGATAATATTTCAATTGATTTTTATTATTTTTTAAAAAGTCAAATTCAACTTTCAACATATACAATCACTTTAGGATTTGAAGACATTTTTTGCTACATCAGATAAATAGTTTTTTTTTGTTAATGTTAATTATATTCAACAAAAAGTCATCAGTACTTAAAAGCTATTAAAGTATTGAAAAAATCTGATTTTTTTCCCATTAAAATATGCATGTAAGAAAGAAAAAAGTGAATATTTTTATTTAATAAATGATTTCACTCTATTCGCAGTACAATTATCAAAAACAAGGATATTTTTATGTATTTTATTGAAAAAATTGATATAAACAATAAATTTGACGATGAGTATTTTAATAACTTTTATAAAAAACCACAACAACATCTTTATTTTTCGATCGTTGATCTTGAAGAACTTCAAGATGGTAATGTCACTATAGTACTAGTGTACTTTTAAATGCACGATATATTATTACATTTAGAAAATTAAGAACCGATATGTTCTAACTCGATCTTATTGAAAAACTATCGATATCGTGTCTATTCTATCATTTTGAAACTATCAAAAAGAAAAACACTATAAAATTTGGATAATAAATCAATGTATTTCGTTTATGAATGAGTTTAATTTATCATTTAATTTCAATAAAATTATGCTAAATTCACAAAAAAAGTAATTAAAAATGTATCATGATTGGTTAAAAATAACTAATACAAAAATAGCGCTGTCAGATAAGTTTTTTTTGTAAACTCTCTGCTTTTGTCATATGAATCGATATTTGATGCTAATCAATATTGAATCATATTGAATAATTATCATTTCTGTGTAAAAAAAAATATGAAAATTCAATTTATATGAATATTGATTAAGGCTAATAAAGATGCTCACTCATGCTTATTCGTTTGTCGATTCGTCATCGTCATGTTTATTCTGTTTTTTCTTTTCGTTGACTATTATGTTACTTACAGGTCATTTCTTCTTCCTCTAAAAAGTCCAATTAATCATATTACAAAAAAGAACACATAACATAGTCATTGGGAAAAAAACCTCATCTGGGAAAATAACTTTTATTTTAATATAATATTTAATGGTTTTAGCTATTCATTTTCTCTAACGATACGATCGTGCCTAAACATGACAGACATGAATATATCATCAAGACAAAAGTAAGTGATACATTTCATAAAGTTTTATGTAAAGATTTAGGTTATTTCCCTCTGTCTTAATTGGAAATAAATAAAAAAAGCGGATGTTGCTGCTGGCGTTTATACATACATTTACTTCCTCAACTTCCATTTCTTTTACTCATGTTATATAGTATCCTTGACAATTATGAATCATATTGCATTTAGTATAAAACAGAAGTTTAAGAAAAATTTTCTTCTGAAATATAAATATCGAAATTAAGTAAGAAAGTTTGATTACATATGCATGACATATCTTCCATTTATTTTTTTTGATCTAAAAAGATAATATTTGTCGAGCACACTAAAAAGACAGCCTAATAGTGCAAATATGATGAGGTAAGCAAAATGACGACACAAATATACAGAACACGTCATTTAGTAAGATAGATGGTCGAGAATAAAACGAGCATAGGAAAACAAAAATTTATATGCATTAATGGTAATTCGTAGCATACTAATAATACGTAAGACGTAGTTCACTGTTCCTCTGTATTTATGTATACACGTGTATATGGATATATATATATATATAGTGACGGTAAAAAAAAAGAGTGACTTGAGAGTGTGATTAGTTTAATATAGTGTATGCATAGTCAATAAGAAAAAAAATGTATGGAATTTATTAGTTTTGTTAGTTATTTTTATTTGTATTTTTTTTTCTTATTTTCAGAAATAGACTAGTCATTTTTAAAAAATAATATTTTATTTATAAACATGGGTTTACGAGATTTTTTTCGAAAATATAAGAAAAGAAGTGATACTTCCGCTTCTACAACTATAAATGAACAATCAAACGCACAGCAGCAACTAAAATTTTCCGGTATAAAACCTATTGATCTTAATGCTCCAGTGTACGTATAAAAAATAGTCTTAACTCTATAATTGTTGTTTCTTTTTTTTTGAATATTTTAATTAAAAATTAATCGAATATATTTATTTAGACCAAACAATATTTCGGAAAAATATCGTCGATTTCCATTTCCAACACGTCGTAATAGTATAATAGATGAATATGATTTATCAGGAGAATCATTAGGTGTAGGTATAAATGGCAAAGTCTTGACATGTTGGCATCGTGAAACTAAGCGTAAATGTGCTCTTAAAGTAAATTAGTTTAAATATATGTTTTTATTGTTCTGTTTACTTCAAATTTATTTAGATAATAAAAGATTCAGATAAAGCTCGACGTGAAGTTATTTTACATAAAAAAGCTAGTACAGGATGTGATTATATTGTTCAAATACTCGATATTTATGTATGTAAAAGATGTTTTTTTTTTTTTATTGGAAAATTTTCGACATTGATTTTTTTTTGTTTTGTTTGATATAGGAAAATATATTTGAATCAAATCGATGCTTATATATTGTTATGGAATGGTTTGTATAAATTCATGATATTTTCTTTCTTTTTTTTTGATTTATGATTTTTTTCTATGTAGTATGGAAGGTGGAGAATTGTTTCAGCGTATTCGAGATAAACATGACAAACCATACACAGAACGAGAAGCAGCTAGAATTATTTTGATGGTTGCGAAAGCTGTTGCACATTTACATCATATGGATATGGTAAGAAAAATAATTTATTTTTATATTTTAATATCAATTTTGATTATTTTCTTTTTTTATTTAGGCTCATCGTGAGTAGTTTGAAGTTTTGAAAAATAAAAATTAAATGAATATTTTAAATAGGTGATCTTAAACCAGAAAATTTACTGTTTGCAGATAGTTCTGAAAATGCTTTACTTAAATTAACTGATTTTGGATTTGCTAAAGAAGGTAAAATAAAAAAAAAACGAAAAGAATCATAATAAATTTGATTTGTCTTGTTTTTTTTAATGGTATAGGAAATAATGAACAACTTCCATTGATGACACCATGGTAAGATAAAAAGAAAAGATTTTTTTCACTTTTTTAACGAAGATAAACAAGGACTTTATGACCTCAAGTGTGTTATATAGGTCAAAAAATAGTTTTCAAATTTAAGCATTTTGTCTAGTAAAGCTTTATCTTTTCAAAATCATTATCATGTATTCGAATTGGTCTAAGCATTTACAATTATCTGAAACAGTTTAGTTCAAAAATTTGAATTTCTTTTTTTTTTTAGTTATACTCCATACTATGTTGCTCCAGAAATTTTGTCCAATAACAAATATGATAAAGTAAAAAGAAGAAAAGGATTTTTTTATTATTATTGATTTAATCTAAATTTTCTTAATTATATAAAGGCATGTGATATTTGGTCAATGGGTGTTATAATGTATATTCTTTTATGTGGTTATCCACCATTTTTTTCCGCTCATGGTGGTACTATTAGTGCTGGAATGAAATCAAAAATCAAAGCTGGTGAATATAAATTTCCAAAAGCTGAATGGAAAAATATTTCACAAGAAGCTAAATCAGTTATACAAAGTATGTTAACAGTTGATCCAGTTACACGTGTTAATATTGACTGGGTTCTTCAATGTTCATGGTTAGTTGGTACAGTACCTGAGACACCAATTGATATTCGTTCAATGTTGGATTTTGAAAATTATGAACAAATGCGAGTATGTATAAAAGATTTAAAAGAAAAGAATTAACATATTTAATTTTCTTTTTTTCTTCATTTATTTTAGATTGAAAGTGAGTTGGTTTTAATTAATTTTGATCCTTTTTTGACATTCCTATAGCAGGTGTTCCACCGTAAATGTATAGGTAACATTATAGCTGGTTTTTGCATAGTGAGGAACACCAGGTATAATGTCACTGTACTATTTGCATTATGTGAGGTGGAACACTTTTCATAGTGGGGCACTCTAACTATAATGTTATCATACATTTACGGTGGAACACCTGGTATAGGAATACCTCATTTTTCTTTATTTATTATTCATTCTATAGTTGCTGCTGCCAATCATGCTCAACGTCGAGCTGATGCTGATGATGAAGAAAATATAAGTATTCTTACACCAGATAACTCACGTATAGCAAAACGAGCTGCTAAGCGACAACGACAATCTGCTAATGAAAATGTTGCACCACCATTATCACAGATTGATGAAAGGGAATAAATATTTTGTTCACATTGTATAATTATTATTTTTTTTCTTTGGTTTACCGGTGCTCTTATTAAATAATCTTTTTCGTCATGAAACCAATGATGAAATTCTTTCATATGACTCACTTTTTTTTTTCGCTTGTTCATTGTTTTTATTGAATCAAACAATGCGTGCATTTTCGTCCAAATTGTTCGAGCTTTAAACTAATTTTTGTTTCTATTGTTTATACGCACTTCTATGTTTTAGTAATAATACGTTTAAATACATATATATTTACATATGTTTGTGTGTGTATGAAAAAGTCCAAATAAAATAAATTGTATATTTGCACTCATTTCTAGATGCTTATTTATATCAAACAACTAAATAGTCCAGGGGCAACTGAAATTCAATTAGATGTATGTATTCAAATATTTCTTTCCTATTTAGTTGTTTTAATACAAAAAGCAAACAATGCCTAGGTTTCTCCAGCTGATACTATTCAAGAAATAAAATCTCGTCTTTCGAAACAATTAAATATTTCAATAAATCAACAAAAATTAGTTCTCAAAGGTAAACCATTACATGATGGATGCTTAAGTGATTATCAAATAACTGATGGTACAAAATTACATTTACTTATTTCAACACAAAATTCGACAAATAAACCGACAAATAATGTCTTGGTAAATGAACTACGTTTATTCGCGTCAAAATGGATTCAAAATCCAAATGAACGTGATGCATTTATAATCGCTTTTCAAAATGTAAATTAAAAAGAAATTTAAAAAAAAAAGCCCTAATAAGAATCAAACATTTTTCTTTTTGTTTATAGGAAATGAAAGGTGTAGTTGATCGATTAAGTTTGGATGATATTGAAAAATTATGTGCTGATCGATTAAATCCAACTGTCTGATATATTTTATATTAATTATCGATCTTGAGTAATCATATCCACTTTGGCTTTTTTTTATTTACGTTGTAATTGTTAGCATGAAAAGATTTTTTTAAAATTGTTCTTTGTTTCTTTTGATATCTAATCAAAAAAAAAGTCATAACAATGATAAATTTTAGTCATATTCAAAGCTCTGGATCAATGATAATTATCGAACAAAGCAAATCTATTAAATTTTAATAGGGTGAAATCTCAAACGAAATGAAATAGGAAATCAATCAAATAATATATTCTCTGTTTGGCATTTATTGTCTCTCTCTTCTACTTATAATACTTTCTTTCTGCATATCATCTATAACACGAAAGTCTTGGCATAAAATATTCACTCAGTTTTCGACCGATAAAATTCTATTAATTTGAGTTAGTTACAATCAGAATTTTTCAATACTTCTGAATATATGTTAAGAACACCCTTTTTCGAATAAAGCTGAAAAACCATCAGTGAAATTTGTGAAAAATTCTACAACAGTATCTGTAGAAAGCAAAATAGTGGTTTTAGTGTAGTTCTTAAGTTGTGTCTTGAAAAAGGTTTAACTTAACATTGTTTTAGAACAATAAATCTTTACAAAATAGAATATTTAAATAGACGAAATCTCATCTACGTGTTTCTATTGAAGAGCTAGTTTCAATGGCAATTGGTGTTGATAAAAAAATTTGTTATTTCAAAAACTTTCCATTAACAACGGTTTCGTATTTGGAGTTAGATAGATTTCGATTGAAATACAAAATTGACCAAAGTAGTATTCTGTAGAAAGACTATTTGAAAATAATTTGTTGATCGTCTTTCTATTTCATCCCGGAAGAAAGTTCTGAGCATATGTTCAGAAAGAGAGAAAAAGTCTGTTTCTAACGAACAGCTTCTGAGTCTAACCAGCTGTTTTTGAGTGGCTGAAAAGTGAATGAATAATCTCATGTAAAGACTTTTGCACCATAAATTTATCTATGAAACATTACGATGATCTCTTCGTTAGACAACGCTGTTACACATTGTTTGTGAACTGAACAATAGAAACTTGATTTTGAAGTAAATATCAGCAAGAAAAACATTTCCTTAAAAAAATATGAAATGATCTGTTCTTGTTTAACTTCAAACGAACAAAACTAATGAACACAATTCATTGATGATTCAGCTCCATTTTGTCAACTAATTAAGATCAGTTAGAGAAATTTCCCAGCTGACCGACATAATATTTTTTTTCAGCCTTCGTTAACAAAAAACATTCTTTCACTTTCGTCAACACAAACATTTTCCTCATTTCCCCAGCAAATATTTTATTTCCATATTGACGCGAATGTTTGTTTTTTCTTTAACAGATTGCATTTCAATAATTAGATGTACACTCAACAAGCAAAGGCGCAAGTAATAGGAAACATCAAGAATCATTATTTACTTATTATAATTTAATTCAAAAATAGAACCAATTGCAATATTTTCGTTTATTTTTAAATCATAACATTGGACGTGAAAGGATGTGGGCGTTTGACTGCTTTTGAGCAATACTCACACTGGCATTCACCTAATGATGTGCATCCAGCTTGTATAGTGACTTTGTAAATTTTGCTATTGCCATAACTAAATAAAAACTGAACGCTTGATCTAACGATTTGACCAATTTTTAACTCCAACAGTGCAGTGATGTAATGAAAAACTTTCTCTATTCGAGAGAAAACTCAATTTTACTAACAAAGTGTAGAGCGATGTTTTTTGGAGTAATTATTCATAGTTGTTTAACAAAATCAACATTTTTGTATTTCTATCACATCGAAAAAAAAAATATCCAGGGTTAACTTAACAAGACTTTCAATGAAAGAATGCACTTCTCAATTCTTATCATTCATAATCGCTCAAGCGTCTGATGCATTTCATCAAAATAAGCAGTATGCACAACTATTCAAACGTTGATATAGGGAAGTGTTGGAAAAATATTATTTCCATATACATTCGGCATTCCTCTATCGAATACAATACTTTATTTCGTCTTGTTATTAAATTTATTTTTATTGACTTTTTTTCAAGCATGTATAATGGCTATGCTCTTCCCTAACAAAAAGAACATTGTCTTAGACTTATTTAATATTAGGAAAAAAAATTTGAGAACATGTAATGTTTGAGTGCTAAAATACTATGTCTTTGGAATAGGAAAAAGATATGTCAATCGAATCAAAGTAAATGATATTTCAAATCAAAATTCAATAGATTCATAGGTATACACTTAGTTTTTTTTTCTACGATTAAGAAAAAACAGCTTTATTATAATAAGTTGAAAATAAACAAGAAGTTTGAAAAACTGGTTGCAAAAAAAAATAAGAGTATCATGGAAAAACAAAAAAAAATTAACTTTGAGATTGTCGGAATTATTATTGAGCTTATATTTTGATTTAATATTATTTAAACAATATAAGTTTCTTTCCATGTCCATTTTTGTGCTGTACTATTGTTTTGACAAGTTTCCAATAATAAAACTTTACCATCAGTTGTTACACATTTATTAGCATTTGTTGAAAGAATTTGTCGTGTTTGATTATCATATTTCCATTCACCTTTTGGAATCCACTTGCCCCCTAGTACACAATGTCTATTAACAAAAAAATATAATGATCAATATTTACGAAAAAAAAAAAGAAGATTTTTCTTACCGTGCAACAATAGAATCACGTTCAGATATATAACACTGTTCATCTACTGACCATTCACCTTCAGTATTTATACGAAATAATTGATTTCCACCTTGACCATGACAACCACCTATACTAACACGTTGACCATATTGATTACCAAGTGTATCCGCACACTTATCTGTATACTGCTCATTACGCATTTCTCCCCAAACAAGATTTGCCGGTGGTAAAGGATATTTCTCAGCCATTTCATATGCAACATTATCCAAAAACCATTTAAAACTTTTACAATTCAAACGTTGTCGTAATGCTTTATATTCACTTGTATTACCTATTTCAAGATGAGCATGATTTGGACGACGACGCATATAATATATTTTATATTCATCCATCCAAATCTAATCAAAATAGAAAAAAAAAGAAATTGTATCATAGAGAGAATTTTAATTTAACAGATCTATATGAATGCAAAAGTAGATATTCTTTGAACATATTTCTCGAATTCAGAAAACTTTCGATGATTTACATCAATTCGATTAAGAATAGGCAGTTACCGAATAATGTAAAATCGTGAATTCGATTTTTTCATCAGGAAGTAGCCATTGAGAGAAATCGCGATTTTATATAACGTTTGATAAGAGATCTGCAAGTCAAGGAGTCAGGGCTTGTAATCAGTTTCGCAGAATAGTTTATTTGGTTTCTCAGTCAAGTTTCCTAACATAATCTTTCCTTCTTCTACCTCGAAAGACTTATCAAATGTTAGGAGATGAAATCAATATGGTACGAGTTTCAAACCAGTTTCATCTCTGGAAACTTTATAAGGGATCTTGATTTTCCCTCAACAATTATTCATTGACGAATGAATTCAATCCATGCATTTTCTTTTTATTGGTTGCCCAGTAATTTGCCTTCTCTAAGTTTGAAACAAAGTCTCTACGATTCTTATTCAACATTATTCCTTTTGTTATTACTCCAGTAATCTGTAACGGGTTTATTTCACAAAAAAAAACTATAATTGAAACTTCATACTTCAGCAACACGCATATGATTGACATGACTCTGATGAAAACTTGCACCTTTAGGATGCATACTTCGTTTACGTGGTCCTCGATAAATATGTCCAACATGACTACAAGTAACCCTTAAAAAAAAACCAAGAAATATTAAAATCAAACGATTCATAGAAAAATTTACCATTCAACTTGTCCACCACACATCCAAACTTTAAAACTCAATTCATATTGTTCACCTAATATATAACAAGAATATGAAAGTTATGTTACTGCAAAATGTAATACATACCTCCCCTAAAAATAAAAGACATATTTTTTCTTAATTTGAAACTTTTTCCATTTTTTTTTCAGACAAACTTACCAAATTTTAATATTTGGATCATAGGCACCTAATTCAAAAAACCATTTTTTTTCGATAGCAAGAAGACCACCAGCATGCTGAAATGAACTTAATGAAACAATAAAAAAAAAAAAAATTTCTTTTCAAAACGTACAGTTGGACTTTTATAAGGTTCAGTTTTATATTTCATTTTATTACGTTCACGTTCTGGAATTTCTGTTTCTTTATATAAGAAGCCCCATTCCCATATACCTCTATAAGGTACACCACTGAAATAAGCTGAATTATGTCCTAGAGTATTCCAGTCAATACCATCAACAATCGGTACTGCTAATGTTTTACGATTTAAAGCAATTCGAGTCAGTAATGGTGGCAACCAATTTGTCACCTTAGAAAAAGAAGAAAAATATAATCAATTTTTCGATATAAAAGAAACAAAAAGCTTACACATTCACAATGAGCATCTAATATCACAATAACATCACCTTCAGCAGCACGAGCACCAACAACACGAGCTTCAATAAGACCAACTCTAGAAAATAAAGCAGTCTTCTTTTTTTTTAAATTTTACTTCAAAAAAAAACAAAATCTACCGTTGTTTAGTTCGAACATATTTAACAAGACCCTTCCATTTTTTAATATATTCAGGTAAACGAACAGTAATATGTTGGTCATCACTAAAATCATCAACCAGAATAATATCTTTTAATAATTCTTTTGGACTTGTATTTATCACAGAATGAAATGTTCGTACTAATGTTGACCAACCTTCATCATAAAAAACCATAATAACAGAAGCTGTTGGTAATTTATTAGCACTTGGATAATTCCAATATTTACATTCTTCGGGTCTAAAAGAAAATTATTTGAATTAATTTTTAAATTGTTTATTAGATTTTTTTTTCTTTTACCTAGTATCACGTGCATGTCTATCTAAAGAAATTTTATCACTTGCTACTTCATTAAAACCATATTCATCAACTGATTTTTCTCCTTTTTTTTTTTCTTCGTCGCCTTGTAATTGAATACCTTCACCATTTTCACCAGGGCCAGGTAGTTTTACTATATTTTTTGGTTCATAATTACCTAAGACACCTTTTGTCATAATAGGTTCTAAGTTTGATATACTATTTTCTACATTTTCAATACGATCCTGATCGGGAACTTTATTTTGCTGTTGATTTGAATCGATGTTTTTTACTTTGAAATGAGGTAATGGCGATGTTGTTGTTGTTTTATCAGTGTCAGAAGTGAATGAAAGAAGAAAATAAACGAGAAATATTATATAAATGGTTAAAAAGAACATTAAGAAACGCCATAGACGACCCCTAACCATTTGAACTGGAATTAAGAATAAATTGGCTTTTGACATAAATGTAACTATCTACAAAATAAGAAATTAAAATTTTATGACTATTATGCATTCTGTATTAGAAAACTTTCATTCATAGTGTGACATTAAATTTCTTTTATAAATGACAATATGAGTTTCAATGAAAGTGACGATCAATCAGTATAAAGTTGAAAGAGAACACTTACGAAATTCAATTTATTGGAAAATACATTAAAAAAATTTCAGAAGGGAGTAAATATAGTTTTGATTTATAAGGAAAAGTTTTCAACGGACCAATCGTTTTTGAATTCGTACTCACTTCATAAAGTATACTTCAGTGCAGTATGAAAAAACTCAAAATGATAAATTTCCAGAGACCTTTCGTCCGAGGTTTTAGGTATCTTATTAGAATTTTAGATTTCGACCTGAGATTTTGCTCACAAGTAGTTCTACTTGTCAAGAAAATGTCTTGAAAATTTCAGCTCAGAAGAATGCTTCTTTCCTGAGATGTTGAAGTCCTCCCCCTCCCCCCACAAAGAAAAAAAAGCAAAAAATTCTAGAATCTTTCATGGAATATGAATGATTTCTAGAATTTTAATTTCTGAGGAAAGAAAGATTCTTTTGAGTTGCAACCTTTTAGGACATGCTATTAACAAGTAGATCTGTCTCTGGGCACAATCTTCGGTTGAAACATCATCATTCAGCATGTTAGTATATCTGATGCTAGTGACTAAAAATGAATACCTTAAAACTGTTCAGACTCGTAGCTTATTCCTGTCGAAATAAGACATTTTTACGGTAGCTTCTAAATGAATGCAACGTTCCTCTTCAGAGAAACTGATTTTCAAAGTTCGACTTGAAACTCTGTATAGAGACAGGCGTTAATGAAAATAATTTCAAATACTTTCGTTGTTCTTATTCTAAGAGAAAACTATAATAAAAGTGTGTATTTTACATCACTCATATATAACAGAAGATTCGATTTTCTTATTTCGAGATATCAGCAAGTTAAAAGACTTGCAGCTTTCATAATAAACTACTTTGATTAAGACTTGTCTCTGATCAAAGTTTCCAATCGATATTCAGAAGTCGATCCGAATTCTTGTTAGGATATTGAAAACTCATATGTATCTACATGGTGTACAGAGGTCCGACTTCAAAGTGATTAATCAGTTGGAGAACTTTCCCTTAAAAAAAATAAGAGTTTATTCGAGATTAGTAAGATGTCATGCAAAGACGAAGTTATTTGTGAAAAAATCGATGCACTGTTAATATATATACTTTCGTTAGATTTAGTTACAAAATATAGAAATGTATTGAAAATTATAGTTAGAATTTTAACTAAAGCCAATCAATTTTAAAAGATTAAACCTCAATAACATTCCATGAAGAAATCTGCTGAGTTCTTTGCTAAACATTAGAATCATTTTTAATCATAAGTTTCATTCTTGGATATATAAAGTCAAATCGTTATATCGTTGAAGAAGACGAGTATAAGTAAAAAAACTTGATATGAAATTTCATTCTTCAACTGTCTTCGAATCGGCCCGGTCTGAGAAAGCAATCATCGAGTCATAACGTATCAGCCAATGGAGAGAATTAAATTTATGATGAAGGAATTTTGTAATATTGATCAAATTTCTTAAAGAACAATTTTTGTAAGATGAATAAATGTTTTCTAAGTCTTATAAAAAGAAAATTATATTATCATTTCTTTTATTAGTAAAATCATTTGGCTTTTAAAATCACCGAATACTATTAATGATAGCTTTTGATTGCCAAAAAAATCAGTTTTTCTTTTTTTATTGTTCAGGATCAATTGTTGTCAATTGTTGAAACTGCTTTGGTGGTCTTGTTGGTGCTTTCAATTGTTTAACCACTTTACATGGATTTCCGACAGCAACAACATTAGCTGGAATATCTTTTACAACAACACTTCCAGCACCAATAACACTATTATCACCAATCGTTGCTCCAGCTACAATAGTAGTTCCACCTCCAATCCATACATTATTACCTATTCGTACAGGTTTGCCATATTCTAATCCATCAAGTCGTTCTTGAGGATCAATTGGATGTGTTGCTGGATATATTTTCACATCTGGACCCATAAGTACATAATCACCAACATAAATTGGACATGTATCAAGTAAAACTAAATTATAATTAGCAAATGAATTTTCACCCCAATATATATTATAACCATAATCACATTGCATGGGTGGTTCGATAACTGAATTTGTTCCGAATTGACCGAATAGTTTTCGAATAATTTCATTACGTTTTTTTTCTTCGTTTGGTCGAGTTGAATTAAATTCATAAACAAGTTCTCGACATGCTTTCCGTTCACCTAATAATTCTGGCGTAAATGCATTATACATTTCGCTAGCAAGCATTTTCTCTTTTTCTGTACGTGTATTTGTTGCCATCTGAAAAAATAATTAATCTAATCATATTTGTTGGTTTAAATAAAAATGAAATGTCTTTTTTTTCCTCAACAAATTTCAATTAGAATTGAAACAAATTCTTTTAAGAGTTTCATGCATTAAACAACCGTATTCGTACAAAGTTTACTATTACTACAAATAGATATAGAAAACTACGTGCTAATATGTAAAATAAATAATCACTACCAAAAAAAACAATTGAAACTATATTATTCACAATTAAAAATGTGCGGAATTAGCGTTCTTTGTACTTCGTACCTTGACTGAGGAAAAAGTAAATAACAAAGTATACCTATAGGTTTGTTTTTTAAGAGTGGCCTATAAACAGCTAAAATCTTGATTCTATACTTGTTCATGTGCACAGAAAGCACTAGAATGTGAATTCGACGGAATCTAGATTTGGGTTGTCCAGATCCAGGTCCTAATTTTTACTTTTTTTCTGGGCTACAAGACATGGATGCGAAGCTTTCTTTGCAGATCTCTATTCACAATTAAATGTATGGCAAAGTGGGAGATAAGCTTTAACGGTCTAGTCTACTAATACTGTGTTTAGTCCTTCAGACATGGTTATATCAACTATGGTATTATCTAATGTTTCATCGACAGCATTGATGGTCTTCTTATGCGTTGTAAATAATGAGTTTCCATGGTGCTATAGTAAGAATAAAAATCTGAAGTAAAATATTGAATAGTCATAGAATATATTAAAAAAACACCATCATATCGAAGGGACTTCACTCTTAAAATATTTGAGCAAGTGATATTATGATTACATAAATTAATATGATAATCGAAGCTTTATCGACAGTATGCATACGTGTAATCACAACAGTCGATTGGAAGATGAACATAATCCAATGAGCAAGTGACGAATATTTGTCGCTGTCAAACAATGACAACGTACTATGTACTTTAAAACTAATGTAAATTTCATTTGTACTATATTCATTTCGATAGTTATCTATCATTTTCAATTGAAATAAATTCTATTCGACTAGAATCTTTAAAAGAAAAATATTGTTTTGAGTGAAATATATATCAATTTGTCGTATGGACTGGTTCTCTTTTTGAGATAAATGTTCATCTCTAAATTTGATTGTCTTTGAACCAGAATTGATTTTTCTTTGTAGAAATCTTCATGAGAATTTTATTCAAAAATCTGGCTTTTTCAACATTTTAGACTTTTTAATATAACATGTAAACATAAATATACATAACAAAGAACTGAGTATGACATGAATTTCGTCTCTCTCAAACATTATCCTTATTGACTTTTTTGAAACTCACAGATGCCCTCAAAAAATTACTTTGTACTAATCAAAATATTATACTAAACTGATACTAAATGATTTTTCACTAGTAGAAATTTTTCGATATGCATTCACCAAAGAATTTCTTAATAACTATGGTACTATCATAATATCTAATAAGCAAAGAAGTATTTTGCTCAAAATTAGATGTCTGTCGAAGGACGCTGATCATCAGACAGCAGTCAACATGTAGATGTAGATGTCGAAGAGCCACTCACATCCACACTTTGTTCATTATTGTAATGTCTTTGTTCGCTCATTTTTCTCAACTTTGTCTATTCAGTAAACATGATCTTTATGATATAAATAAACATTTTCTATTTCAAATTTTAAAGTCAACTCTAAAAAATATTTTGATTACAAACCAATTGCAGCTTTAACTTAGCAATTGATGAAATAAGGAATTAAGAATATTTTTTTATAGCTTTACATTGAAAAACATTGCTTCGAATATAACATGGCATTACTTTTTCTTTTAAGATATAGATTAAAAAAAAATTCAAAGGTCTGTATTCATTTGCCGTCTGACATTCACTTGTTTCTATTCTTTACTTGTGTTCCATCATGTGTTAAAGGATGCCTGTTGGCGTAAGTCAACGATACTTTTATTTTCTTACGTCTTCAACGTACAAGGTGTTTCTTTTCTTTCTTTCCTAGCAATCGATCGCAAGGTATCAACTATTACTCACTTATAAAGCGTTAAAGATAATGTTTCGACGACATTATGTATGAGTAACATGCAAATGGTAATGCAAAACCTTGTACTTTATTAAATATTAAAAAAAAAACAGCATTTATCATAGCTGTTTAACGATTGTTCGATTAACAATGAACTATTTTCTGCGTAGTGTTAAATGAATTCTTGCAGAATATTATTTTCTTCAGTTCTAGATATATATATATTTCAGTGCGTTGTTTACTGGTTTTTTTTTTCTTTCTCTTCACCAAGTTTTTGTCGTTTGTGATTTGTGGAGAAATGGGCACCAATCAGATGGAGATGATACAGGTATTAGTTGACAAGTTCATATCTGTTAACTTGGTTTTAACTTTATAATAACTTTCAGAAAGGTATACAATGTGCTGAAAAAGCCGTAGAAGATGATAATGCACATAACTATGAGGCTGCTGCAAAAGAATACCTAGCTGCAGTAGAACATTTTCTGCATGCAGGAAAATGTAAGTAGTTGCAATAAATTGTCTATTGAAATCACAACTAAAGTATGTGTATGTTCTAGATGGAATTATGAGCGAAAATACAAAGAAAACGATACGTGCTAAAATTGAGAGTTATTTAAAACGAGCAGAAGAACTTCAGAATATAGTAAAACATGGACCAGTGAAAAAGAAAGAACTAGCTGATGATAACAGAGATCGTAGAAATTCAAAAGATAATAAAGATGATGATAATGAAATTAGTGATCCAGAACGGAAACAACTGATGCAAAAATTTGAAGGTACATGTTTTTTTATAATAATAAATTCTATATTTCATCTAGTTGTAAATGTTCGTTACATTAGGAGCTATTATTACTGATCCAAAAATAACATTCGATGATGTTGTTGGTTTAGAACAAGCTAAAGAAGCATTGAAAGAAGCTATTATTTTACCAGTGAAATTTCCACAACTTTTTCACGGTATCATATCATAGAAAAATTTTATCCTTTCACTTAGTTTACTTGTATTTAGGTAAACGTAAACCATGGGCTGGTATATTACTTTATGGAGTAAATTTTGTCTACATTTATCAAATTTTATTCTTCGATTTTTTATTCTATTCTAGCCTCCTGGTACTGGTAAAACATATTTAGCTAATGCTGTAGCTACTGAATGTAAGAGCACATTTATTTGTGTGAATTCATCTGATCTTTTATCAAAATGGCTTGGTGAAAGTGAAAAATCTGTTAAATATCTGTTTGAAGTTGCTCGAGAAAAACAACCATGTATTATATTTATTGATGAAATCGATGCTCTATGTGGACAACGTAATGATACTGAATCTGAGTCATCACGTCGTGTTAAAACTGAATTTCTTATTCAAATACATGGTAAGATAATCAAAATGAATGAATGAATATGATCTATGTGAAGTGTTTGTCAGGTGTTGGAACAGATAATTCAGGTGTTCTTGTTCTTGCTGCAACTAATATGCCTTGGACATTAGATACAGCTATACGACGACGGTATTATTTCTCTTTTTGTATTAGTTTAATATGACTGTTAAAAAGTTTTCAACTAATATGTTTTAGATTTGAGAAACGAATTTATCTTCCATTACCAGAACTGAATGAACGAGCTGGTATTTTTAAAAGTCATCTAGGCGCTGGAACTTATCATACAATTAAAGAACATGAATGGATAGAACTAGCACAAAAATCTGAATAGTAAATATAAAATTTTCTCTGTAAGAAATTTACTTCAACTCTTATTTATTAGTTATTCTGGTGCTGATATAGCTGTTGTTTGTCGTGAAGCTCTACTTCGACCTATTCGTCGACTTAGTTCAGCAACACATTTCAAAAAAGTATATACCGATTATTTATTTGTTTTATCACTTGTGTTTTATTATTTGTGTCTAGGTACCGAATTCAAAATCGGATGGTCCCCGTCAACTTTGGCTTGTCTGTTCACCAGGAGATTCTGGTGCAGTAGAATTAACATTAGATAAAATTAAATCTGAAGAATTATGTGAACCACCAGTAACTATGGTGAGTATTTCGAACAAGTTGTTTTTATTGAAGAAATATGTTGTTTGATTTTAGTCGGATATGTTAGCTGCACTTTCAATACAAAAACCAACTATACATGAAAAAGATTTGATTAAATATCAAAAGTTTACAGAAGAATATGGTCAAGAAGGTTCATAAATCAAATAAATAAAAATCTATATCTTTTTATATCTTAAATGATTTATTGTGATGTATATTGTTTTTTTTTTGTTTACTATATGACATATAAATATTTTGATAATCATTCATGTCTTTGTGAATAAGAAAAAAAATTTTGTTTTGTAATATGTGAAGATCATGAGTCAATTCAATAAAACAAACTTATCTTAATCTTATGTTTGTTTTTCTTTCTTTTCAGGTAATTTAATGATTCATACCTTAGCTGAGTATACTTCTCTCAATTGTCTTTACCATCATAAAAGTAAATACAGCTGGAATATTACAATAGTTAAAAGAATTTTTATTAGTATTGATATTCGAAATTTTAACGTACGGTAGATAAGATAAAGTATGATATGAAGAGATCCATAGTCCTTATGAAAAAGAAAAAGGTTCTTTTGAATATTCATATACGATGACTGCTTCTGCCATCTATTATAAGTCAAGAAGAAAAACATTTCAAAAATACTATTAAATTTACTGTATCGTCAACGTTTGTAATTATGAAGTTTGTTTTTTTTTACTTAGAATAATATCATATGATTGTCGATTTTAATTGTTGTCGAAGTCATGACAGACCAGCTACTTCTACCGATAGACTTGAATATGACTCATTGTATTCCATACAACCTCTGCTCCGTCTGAGTTGATTGACGCAAGTTAACAAAATAGTTTTGTTTTTGTTTCTTTTTATTATTATATCGTAATAGTCATCGTCGTTTTATATCAGATAATATTTTTTGTGACTGTTCTCCATTTAAAAATTTGTTCTCATTTGAAAATTTAGATAATATTGAAAACTAAAACTATTTTTTGAAACTTATTATATACTTATCTCTTTACTATCATTAAAACAATGACCAGCAGTCCAAACGATTATATTCAGGTAACAAATTATTTAAGACTCGACAACTATTTATTAGAAAATTTCACTTTAATAGAAAGGTATTCAATATGCCGAACAAGCTACAGCCGATGATAAAGTTCATAATTTTGAAGCTGCCGGTAAAAATTACATGGCAGCAGCAGAATGTTTAATGCATGCAGTAAAGTGTAAGTATATTAAAAAAATAGATCTTTAGAAAAATGTCATAATATATTTGTATAATGTATATCTATATAGATGGAGCAATGAATGACCAATTGAAACAAAATATTCGTGCGAAAGTAACTAGTTATATAAAACGAGCGGAAGAAATAAAAGGTACTTCGAAGAATGGACCAACAATAAAAAAACCAATTGCTGATGGTGGAAATTCAAAAGATAATAAAGATGATGATGAAAATGGTGATCCAGAAAGAAAACGAATGATGCAAAAATTTGAAGGTGACAAGATTTTTTTACTTTCTTACAAATAACGTTTATTTATTTTTATTGCAGGAGCCATTATTACGGATCCACAAGTTACATTTGCTGACGTCATTGGTTTAGAGCAAGCTAAAGAAGCGTTAAAAGAAGCTGTTATTTTACCAGTGAAATTTCCACATCTTTTTCAAGGTATAATATATTATAAGAAATTTCTATCATTAAATTACGAGGATATATTTTGTACTGATCAATCGTTATCTAAACAAAAGCTACTGAATCATCCGTTAGTCACCATACTGATTCCGAACATGACTATAAGAAATTTCCTTAGATCTTTGATTTAATGTAAAAATCTCGATTTTCATAATTTTCAAACAAATAAATATGATAATAGAATGAGAAGATATTTTTCGATATTTTGATTTTTGGAATTTTATCTTTCAAGATTTTTATAGTAATATCTAAATACTTTTTATACTGGTTTTCTAAGAAATAGATTGTTTCAGGCTAACAAATATTTTGTCAAAATTGTTTTGGATCTATTGCGACTATGAATTATATCTAGTTCTCAATATAATAAATAATCTTTTCTGTTTTCCTAAAATGAGTTTACATTCAGGCCTAGCAGTGATCCTGATTTCCTGATTTTTCGAAGTCATCCTGATTCATCTTGTTTGAAGAATAGATAAAGTTCTTTATGAACTGAAAAGTGTCGATGAATAGATGAAAAAATTCATCTGTTTTTTTTACAAGATTCCTACAAAATCTTGTGTCATTATTCAGTAAGAAAAAGAATAGACAGACATAATTTGGTTAGTTAGTAGATCTGAAAGTCGAGATTCCGATGAATGATCAACTCTCTTCGTTGGATTGCCGTCGATGAATCTCACGAAGCAACGTTTCAAGGTGCCTCCTTACTTTTGACCTGATATTTTGGCTATATCTTGGGGCCTCTGGACTAGAATAACCTTAAGTTGGCTCGCTTGCTCGGCAATTTGGACTTGATTTATTATGGATTCTAAACTTATGACACTAGGTTATCTGGAACAGCAAATATGTGGATTTCGCCCTGAAATTTTGTCTATAAATAAATCTAATAGCCATGAGAATACCTTAAAACGTTGAGACAAAACGAATGCATCCTTAAGATATTTAGTTTTCAAAAAACTGTCTATTTCTCAGAGAAAAATTCACAACAATCGCAATATTTGAATATTCAACATCTTAAGAAGGATGCATTTGTTTTGTCTGAAACTTTTAAAGTATCTTAGTGGGCATCAGATTTATTTATAGACAAAATTTCAGGTCGAAATCCGCATATTTGCTGTTGCAGATAACCTGGCCTCATAGGACTAAAATCCAATAAAGTGGTCATAACTCAGTCCTTAAAGGCCCAGGCAAGCGAGTCAACTTAGGGTTATTCTAGTCTAGTCCAGAGAACATCGTTGGGACATCATGATGATGTTTCAACAATGTCTGCTTGGAATTAACGATTTCTGCTGACACTCGACCTTCTAGAACGAAATATATATTGATTTTACGATTGCCTATCGATGAGTTGCAAATCATCACAATGTTTCAGCTTTTTTGTTTTGTTATTTCGCGCTTTGTTTAATTGTTTCACTAAGAGTTAAGCTATCTATGTTACGTGATCGTTATGCTTTCGAAACACTGAGGCACTGAGAGAACGATTTTCTCTTAAAATTCCATGGGGCACAGGTTTCTTGTGGGAAATGGTACGGTTTTCCATTTTAAAGATGTTGTCAACTGCTGGAATAGAGTAGAGAATAAATGCCATTTGACATTTCGTAATTCCTATTGCGAAATGATGTGCATTTTCGATGAATAATGCCTATGTTTTGAGAATCCTGATTTTTTTCTTGAAAATTCCTATCCTGATTCCTGATTTTGCATACTAGGCCGCTGCGACCCCTGGTTTACATTCTAATAGTGTCATGTTGAACATTGTCACATTGATACATTAATATATATCTGTTGTATGAATTTAAATGACTGTAATTTCTCCAATACAATATTTTAAAACAGAAGAACTTTGTGTTTTCTAAGTAATTTGATATGCTTTATAATCTGAAGAAATCAAGAAGAGTTTGTTAATCTACAAAAACCAATATATGAGCACCTAAGAAGATTTTGAAAATATTCATTCGTTCGTTTACTTTTTCTTCTAGGTAAACGCAAACCATGGGCTGGTATATTACTTTATGGAGTAAATTTTTTTGTGCATACAGCAAATTTTATTCTCTTATTGTTTTTTAATTTCATTCTAGCCTCCTGGTACTGGTAAATCATATTTAGCAAAAGCTATAGCTACTGAATGTAAGAATACATTTATTTCTGTGAGTTCATCTGATCTTTTATCAAAATGGCTTGGTGAAAGTGAAAAAGGTGTTAGAGGTTTATTTGAAATTGCTCGAGAAAAACAACCATGTATTGTATTTATCGATGAGATCGATGCTCTATGTGGACAACGTAGTGATACTGAATCTGAGTCATCACGTCGTGTTAAAACTGAATTTCTTGTTCAAATGCAAGGTAAGTTTATCAACAAACATGAATGAATATGATCTATGTGATATTTTGTTCTAGGTGTTGGATCAGATAATTCAGGTGTACTTGTTCTTGCTGCAACAAACATTCCTTGGACGTTAGATACAGCTATTCGAAGACGGTACTTTTGAGATGAAAAATTTTTGCCATTGAAAAATATTTGATTATTTAGTTTTGAAAAACGTATTTATATTTCATTACCGGAAGTTAATGAACGAGCGGCTATGTTTAAAACTCATTTGGGAGCTAGTACTTATCATACAATCAAAGAAAATGAATGGATGCAACTAGGACAAAAATCTGAACAGTAAATATAAAATTTCATGTGTAAGAAATTAACTTCGATCCTTATTTACTAGTTATTCTGGTGCTGATATAGCTGTTGTTTGTCGTGAAGCTCTACTCAGACCTATTCGTCGACTTAGTTCAGCAACACATTTCAAAAGAGTATACGCTCCTTATAAATTTGTTGCATTAGCTATTTCTATGATTTTTCTTAGGTATCAAATCCAAATCCAGATGGTCCTCGTCAACTTTGGCTTGTCTGTTCACCAGGAGATCAAGATGCTGTAGAATTAACATTGGATAAAATTAAACCTGAAGAATTAGCTGAGCCACCAGTAACTATGGTGAGTATTTCGAACAAGTTGGTTTTATTGAAGAAATATATTTTTGCGTTTAGAACGATATGATAGCTGCTCTTTCAACACAGAAACCAACTGTTGGTGAAGTTGATCTATTAAAACAGGTAAAATTTACCGAAGAATTCGGTCAAGAAGGTTCTTAAGAATGATGATGAATAAAATAAAGTAAGAAAAATCTTCAATCAATGACTGCTTTGATCGCGCATATAAATTGATATTTTCAGTTTCTATTTGTATGTTTGTCTGTTTGCTGTTTATTCTATTATTACTACAATAGTTGTATTTGTCTTTGCCTTTATTTTTCATGTTATTATTTTATTCAAAATTAATAAAAAGAAACAAACTCATAACCAATGGTAATCTTATATAATTTAAAAAAGACCTATTGATTAATATTGTTATCTTTTGTATAAATGTCATTGTTCTCTCTTATGTAACATTCTAAAAAAAAAACCATGTTAAGTTTCGTGTGTATTATTTGTGCAATATATTTTATTATTGATCGAATGAGAAAAAGAAAATGATTCAATTACAAATTTTTTGCTTTTATTTTATTTTTTGTTCATGATGATAAATATGAAGATTATTTAAAGGCTTTTTGATACATAAATATATAAGATGATAAACGAATAATTTAGTAATTGAAGTCTTTTATATTAAAAATCCGAATGAATAAATTTGAATTAATGATCAGCCATTTCAGATGATTCTGATTCAGACAAACGAGTATTTCGTTTACCTAAAAGAATTCCTTCAGTTGGATAGCCACGTTTACCAAGTAAGATGCCTTCTGTTGGATAGTGACGTTTACCAAGTAGAATACCTTCAGTTGGGTACCCACGTTTGCCTAACAAAATACCTTCGGTTGGATATCCTCGTCTTCCAAGGAGAATACCTTCAGTTGGATATCCACGTTTTCCAAGTAAAATACCTTCTGTTGGATATCCACGTTTACCAAGTAGGATACCTTCTGTTGGGTATGCACGTTTATTGATAGAGGCCTTTTCAACAGATAATTTTGCTTTTGATGAATCTTTCTGATCATTATTGTTTGATTTAATTTTTTCAGCAGTTATTTTATGCTCAATAGCATCAGATATTTTCGTATTAGCTGGTGAACAATGGGTTAAATTGATAGTAAGAGCAACTAAAAGAAAATATGTTTTAGAAATAAGTTTTATATATATAGATAAATATTACTCAATGAGATCATAAGAACAGAGAATAAATACATTGATGATGCCATTTTTATTTGATTTTGAAAAATTTTACTGTAAATTGTAAATCTAGAATAGAAAGAATAAATGACATTAAATTCTGAATGATTACATTCATGTAAAAGATCCTCTACATCCCTGTTGCTAACTATAGAATTCAGAAGTAATAGAATAGTCAAACAAAACATGACTATTTATATGTACCTTTTCACATTCTTTCGTGTTCACAAAAGCAATAATATCGATAAATGCGTGTCAACATCTTCATCTAACTAATATTATTAAGTGCTAGTACTTTTTTGTGTTAGAATATTCTTCTGGACTCTTCTTTATACTATATTTATGTATGAAAAAAAAATGAATAGAAGTATTATTAATACATCTCATATTATGCATTATTTTTATTGTTGTATTTCAATACGATTTGTAAATATCTGTTAATCGACCTGTGAAAAATAAGTACAAGAATAAATTGTTAATTATGTTCTTGTACCTACGAAGAAAATTTATAGAAAATGTCAACTTACCTTGACTTGGTTCTAAGACAAATGATCTCTACTTCGATAGAAATTCCCTTAATAAATAGTCTCTATTTGATGTAAGAGAAAATTCACTTGTTATTTGTAATTCTGAATCTCTTTGCATGTTATCTATTATAATTAGAAAAAAAAAAAAAATCTAACTGAAATTACTTTTTTTTTCTGTCTTCTTTTCTTTTCCTCTTCATACTATGATTTGTTTTGTTGATGACTCAAAAAGTTTTCTAATCAAGTGAAGTAGTGTAATGTATACATATGAATAATAAAACAAGAAACGACATGATTACTGATATTGTTCTATATAGAAAACAAATGAAAATGAATTCTTATGACATTAAACTTAATCTAGAAATATAAGATATCATCACTATGAAAAACTATAGCATATGTTTTATAAAATAATAAGAGTAAAAAAAAACAAAGATTGTTTCTATTAAGACGGATTAGGATTAAATAAAATAACAAGAAGTATCTACAAAGTCATATGTTGAGTAGTTGTAAAATTCGTGACTTTAGAACAATGGATATGCTCGTTTTAGTAACAATAGTTAATTATTAATGCTTGATTACTATTGCTTTATTCTTTTCATACAGGAGTACTATTCAATATTATGGAATAAAACATGCTAAGCTTTCAAAAAAATAAGAAAAATACTTAGAAGTACAGAAAACATACATATCGTTTGCAACCAATGAAAAACTAAAATGTTGTGTAACTAAATCAGAATATGTCCTGGTTAAACTAAAAAAATAATAATGTTGACAAGTACGAAATAGACCATCATATCAAGCATTATATAGATTTAAAAAGGCATGAAATAGAAGTTCTTTTTACATACGATTTTCTCTTAATTGTTTATTATAATTATCAAACCATATAGTTTTTCTTGATTGAACTTTCTACAGAAAATGAACTATCAGTTTTGAGACTTTTTAATATTTTACATTCAAATAATATTAAAGAAAAATGCAATAATCAAATTTCCTGGTCATTCATGACTTTGAAGTAAATAGGTGACACATCAAACTTGATGGATTATATTTAGAAGCCTTTGGTTCAATATATTTACTATAGAAAATTAAATATGTTGATGTCATTTTTACGTGATCAAGGGTCAAGTTAACACGTATATGTCTTCTGAGCATAAAGAATATTTGCTTCAGAAAAGATTAAAAGACACGTATTCAAAAAAAAATGAGCTACTACTATTGAATTTGTAGACAGTGGAATCTTAACCTGTAAACACCTTTTTACTCTAGATTTTAACATTGTTTTTTTACAGTCTGGATTGTTATTCTAAAATAAACCCATGTGAACATTTTTTCCCTCTTCTCTTCATCATTTCTGACTAATGCGCTATAACTGTACACATCAGGGAAAGCAATGACAAAAGAACCTTACCTTATTGTGACTATCAAAATGATTTAACCAGTAGATAACATAATTTTTTTTATCTATAGCTTAAAAACTACAGAAACTGCAATGATCTTATTTTCTTCAGATGACAAACGTAAATCTCTAGTATGTTATTAAAACTATGTTAGGTAAATCTATTGACCTACTTAGTTCGTGTTGATAATATAATTGTAATATACCACTTTCTATTCTTTGAAAATTATCCAACCATTTACTTTTTTTGTTGTAAACTGTTGCAAGCGTTTTTTTTAACACATTCGGCACTATATGAATATTGCTTTTTCACAATTCATGAAAGGTTTCATTTTTTTTATTCAAGACAATTCTAATACTTCAAAAACAGTTTTTATCAACGTTTCTCTTATGAATATGAGTTATGAACATCCCTTTATCAGTGGTAAAAGAACCAGCCTCTTCCGTCAAAATATAGTAGAGATATTCAATTTTTTCTACGGTGAAGGAAGTTTTGGGTCACCTTATAGTGGGTCCCACCGGTGGGACCCATCGCGTCGAATGTGTTAAATTGATATTTCCTTTATTATATATATGATAAAATGAAATAAAGTGTGTTGTACGTAGGAAACATTTTTTATTATGACTTTTCTTTGAGTAGGTGTTTAAAATTAATATTCCTTTTACTTGTACTAGAAATTTTCAACAACATCGCAAAAAACAAAGATTTTTTTTAATATGATGTTCAACCAATTTATTGTTCAATGTAGCATTAGAAAGAACACTTATAAACTCCATGAATCGAATCGATATTTCGTGTAGGAAAATAGTTGGCTCTCTCGTACGTATAGACCAATCACAGATAGACTTTCTTGTATAGTCTTATTCATATATTGAAGAAGGTATGATAAATTGTTTTAAAAGTATGACTTTGTAGAGCATCTTTTCCGTAAGCAACTCTAAATATTTCAAGTCAAAATTATTTATATCACCAAAGTTATGTACTTGTGTTACGTCATTAATGGCAAGAGTTAAAAAGCTTACTGCAGTTCCATCAACAGACTAACGAGAGAACATTCCCAAGTGATTAAAAGCTTTTGAGCTCATATGTTACCCATTAGGTAGGGGACCACTAGATTAGAGAAACCTCCAAAGGATTTGTGCCCATATTGAGATTTGACAGAGATATCGAATTTTTAGTGGATTTTTTCTGCTGGGCCCAAGTTCTACAGCAAAATCATATTTTCGAATTTCGATCTGAAACTTTGCCTACATGAAGGCCTCGATCAGAGTAGCTTGTATAAAAAATTTCAGAATTTTTGGACATTGCATCTCCAAGATATCAATCTTTCAAAGTATCCATGTTATCTACAGAAAAGTGCCTATATTTTCAAAAATTGATACCTTGGAAATGCAATGTCCAAAAATTCTGAAATTTTCTATATAAGCTACTCTAATTGAAGCCTTCATTTGGGCAAAGTTTCAGATCGAAATTCGAAAATATGATTTTGCTGTAGAACTAGGGCCCAGCAGAAAAAATCGACTAAAAATTCGATATCTCTGTCAAATCTCAATATGGGCACGAATCCTTTGGAGGCTTCTCTAATCTAGTGGTTTCCTACCTAATGGGCAACATATGAGCTCAAAAGCTTTTAATCACTTGGGAACGTTCCCTCGTAAGTGCATATCTTATTATATAAATGACTGATTTTTGTACATTTAGTACAAATTTGTTTGTTGAGATACACTTTTAATCTGTTGTTAAGTCTACGGTAAACGTTTTTTCTGTTAGTTTATAATTTAAGTAATAAATGATCAATTTTGATTTGAAATATAAAAATTTCCTACGGTAAAAAGATGTTCTACAAATTCATGCTTTTAAAAAAATTTTTTATACCCTTTTATCAATTTGTCAATGCTATATTCAACAATAAATTGGTCAAACATCATATGAATAAAAGTATTATCTTTTGCACTGTTGTGGAAAATTTCCGATATGCCAAAAAAATAGGCATAATCTCTAAAACTTTATTTTAAGCAAAAAAAAATACTAACAACATTTCCTCACATACGGCACAAATTGTTTTAATGTCAATAAAATTAAACTAATCAATGAATTAACTTCAACTTTTTAGAAGTATACTAGAGATCATGGAGTGTAATCTGATGCAAAATCAAGATATGCTGGTTCATCTAATTTTTTTTAAATATACAAAAAAATAAAATAAAATAATCTATCAGTTGAATAATTTTTAATTGCTACTGTTACATGAAATGAAAAAATTCAATTTCTTAATGATAACTACAGTCATAGTTCCAAATCATAAATTCAATATATTAAAGTGAAGAAAAAAAAAGAATATTTCAAGAATTATCAAAAAAGTCCACAATCTTAGTATCAAACGCAATTTTAAAAGTGTAAAGTAATAAAATTTCATGAATTGTGCAGTAATATTCATCAAAATTACACATATCAAGATCGAAAGAATAATGCAGAACTCTGCTAAATAAAGCAAAGATTTTTTTTCATCAATGTTCGCAATAAGAAAAATGAAAAATACAGACCAGTAAAAAAAAACTTACACTCTGAAACTTTTGTCATTTCATAGTGAAATATATGACCTCTCTCATTAATGAACATTTCTCAATAGTAAACGCTTTATTTAAGATAGATTTTATTGTACATATATTCTTAAATTATTCGAAAATTGCTTTCTCAAATTCAAAATTTTGTTTCATTTTATGTTCTGTTATCTGTAAGTAACAAATAAATTCCAATTTGATATTTTATTCATAAATGAACTCCTCATTTAATTATGTCAATATAACAGAATGAACAGTTGAACATAGTACATACGCATTGATGAATTATTTTATCATTATCAATATCGATAAAATTTAAAAGAATTAAGAATTATACAAAAAAAAAACAACGCAGGTAATAAAAATGTTTACATGAACATGAATAATAGAAAAGATTCCAATCAATTCGATTTGACTAACGTCTAAAGCAATCATTCAGAAATTCATACATTTATTTCCTATCACTCAATTCTAAGGTTCTCTAATCTAGACACCGTCGAGATGGATCAAAAATATTCATTATTAGGAAGTCTTCAGC